TCCTACCTATCCATATAATTGCAATAATTTATCACCAAATAATGCAATGCGACATAAATATAAAGCTGTATGGTAAAATTTGTCTATGCCTACCGCCTACGACTTATACATGCTAGACTTATACTATTTCGGTTCGTGGCCATTAACAGGGTAAGAAATAGGTCATTATGGAAATTTAGTAAGCGTATCAGCCAACTCATTGTCTTAGAATATTAGCAAAACAGTTAAAAAGTCTCTTTTTTGTAAGATATCATTTGTAGAACAAATTAGGCAAAATATTACTACAACAATAACTTGTCATATTAACAAGATTTTTACCGGTTTGTGCATTTCACAAATAACAATATTAACAAAGTCACAAAACAATAGTTTTACTAGCTAGTTTTTAGTTTTGAATATTACAGCTTAGATCATCATGTAGTCTTAAGTTATAGATATTTAAAGAGTAGGCATACACAAATCTGGTTATTTAAACCATATTTCATTATGTTAATGTCTCTAAATCTAGAATTAGTGAGCTAGTAACATTGAAAGTTTAAAACCGGGTTTAATGATTTTAATTTTTCTAACATTAACAAACAAAAAAATGACCGGGTAGTTTTTAGATTTTTTATAGGGTGTGTTTCTTTATTTGCTTCAAAAAATAAAATGTGTGAAAAAGTCTTTTCGTTGATGGACAGATTGATTGACCCATCCATTTTCGGGCCAGGTTTGTTCGAAAATAATCTGACACAAAGCTACGGTTTCGTATGAATCCATATAAAAAACAAACATAGCTTTGGTCCCTCCACCCCATTCCCTTGGATCTTGACCGTTGATCATCACCCAAATTTATAGATGTTTCGGATTACTAGTTTATATCCATACATCAGCTTGAACCACTTGTTACGTTTTTATACTTGAATTGATAAGTTATATTTGTTCCGAAAACAACAATGCATGGTTATCAGCCTATAGCCGAGTATTAGGTTAGGTATCTTAAGCTCTCAGTCTTCGAATTTTAAAACATTTCATTAAATATATAGGAGTTTGATATTTCGGTTAGTTTAGAATGAAGAGTAGTAGGGATGACATAACCCATATATATCGAGATCTAATTTTATAACATTAGTCGGTTTTTACTCAAAAATAAGATCATATTTGATAACATAGAATTTAAAAACTCTGGATATCTTCATTTGGAATATGATGCAAGATATGATTCTAGCAACGTAAGTAAGATAAATGATTGATATGATTCGATCAATGGACAATGGGTGTATATGCCCATTCCTAGGCTCCTAGCTGATAAGAATTTTTTGAAATCTTTTTGTATAGATATTCGGAATCAGTGTTAATATCATCTTTGATCGAAGTTATTCTAAAGTAAGTAATTTATTTTATCATATGGAGAGATTTGCGTTTCATTTGAAAGAATTGTATATTACCACTTGAACATGATTGAGGATAACTGATTAATAATTGATCTCATTTATGTAAGAGAAAACAAAAACAAAAACAAAAAAATATTCAACAAAAATAAATGTGAATGTACCTGATATTATAGGAAGTGGACAAACATAACCCAGAATAGATGTATCTGTGGACTACGATGGACCAAACACTTCTGGATCAAAAACTGATTAGAGCACCTAATATTTCGGTCTTTGATGTTCCTAATCAAAGCCTTGTATATATATGCAACATCACCTCTTGATGGACGTAAGCCAAATTCTCTTTCTTAAATATATTTCAATAAATTCCTATTTTCAACCAAAAATAGAACATCCATACTTTACTAATCCAAACGAGACAAGGAAAGCCCCAATCTAACTGCACTACGTGGACAGCGTCTAATGTACACAATCTGTATACATTTTCAGCGTAATTTTATTAGCTGTCTAAGATAATAGTATGTAATGAGTGAGATATCTTTTTATAATATATGGGGGAAAAATCTGGTGAGACTTGAGATGCAGCACGAGCCATATATAATGTTATGCTTCTTGAGAGCAACCATATGCACCACTGGTTATTGTCAATGCATTATTTTTTGGGGTCAAATTTTGTAATTTATTCAGTCTGGTCTAGTAATCCTGGATTTTTTTTTTTTTGTATACGTAAATCACAAAATCTCCAGCTATCATCTAAGATGCAAATGATCAATACATAAAGATATGAAAATTTCATCATTTAAAAAACTGTTATATCATTTTTCTTAGAGTCAGATTGATCTGCTAACCTACTTCTAAGATATTAATAGTTTCTTTAAGATTTATTTAAAATGTTTTTAATATTAATTAGAGATCCGGTCTAACTCTAAAGCATATAAACAAAGAAAGATACAAAAGGAAATCTTCTTTTTTAATACAAAAGAAAAAGAAAGCTTTAAACGTAACAAACTAACAAATGCAAGTGCTTTTAGTTATATATATATTTTTTAAAATCTCCATCAGCAGCACTGTTATGTCCACTGCGGTCGGAGAATATATCCGTCCCATATTTTTAGTCATAATTGGCTTAAACTTTACCATGTAGGTTCATAATCACTATTGCTCTAGACCTCTAGTAACCAAGTTCTCTTATTTGTTTCTTATAAAAATAAAAATAAAAATTGTATTCAGATGAAATTCGCACGTGCTTATTTAAGTGTATGAACTATAAAGTATAAACCCAAAATCTGGTGATGTTGTGGGCATACATTTTGGAACAGAGAGAAGAGAAACATCATCGTCATCATATGATATTGCAGAAAAGTGTTAATTGGTTGTTGAGTTAATATTCTCTTTTGCTGGAAGTGGTCCTTAGTTTTGTGTCTGTGGTCCATCAAATGATATACAAACTTTGTCTTAATTTTTGTTTCCTAATATTAAAATGTCTCCAAAGTTAACTAATTAAGGTTTCGATCCACCAGAAACGAGAAAAGTTGTCTCTGAATCTTTCTTTCACGTTACTTCTTTGTTTCCTTGTGGTCCTTCAATTCATGTTTTTTTTTTTAATCTCTAGAGATATCTGTTCTTACTTTTACCAAAATAAAACGAAGAACAAAAAAAAGAAATGTGAGGGAAGATAGCAGAGAACGACCCTCTGGTAGTTGATGTGGGCCTGACTCGGTTTTAAAGCTTCAACTCGGTGATTCCTGTTGGTGCATTTTTGGTTTCCAAAATAATTGAACATATCCTAAGGTATAACATAATAAAAAAGCATATAATAAAATATAGGAAACTTAGAAGTCTCTAAGAGATTTTTTAAAACTAATTATTTAAGTTTGATAACGATTTTGTGAGATAAAATAAGCAGAATAATGTGTTACATATAGCTGTAATTTTTTTTTTGGTCACGTATTCGAACTAATTTATTTTCTATATAGTTATATAAAGCAATGATGACCATGCTTCGTTTTAAGGAAGATAAGTTATTTTCTGCTGCATCCACATTTCACGATTAATATAGGTAATCTTATCAGTTAGATGCCCTCCAATTACATTGTTGAGTGTATTTGAGAATTTAAGTCATAACATTAATCGTAATTAAACTTTAGCTTAGCTACACTGCAAAATCAACTGTATTTTCTTGAACCTCTTATACTTTTTGATGGGTGTAAGATATTTAGATTCTATTTTGTGTATAAGAGTACAAAGATAAACGGACCAAAATAATGGACCCGTATCGGCCCGTTTACAATACTGCTCTTTTATCAGGTCAAAAGCGAAAGCTTAAAACTTAAAAGCAATTGAAAATATTCCATTTTTCCATTTTCGACAAAGATATCATTCTTTTTCTTATCTGAATAAAATGTGTTTTTTGGAGATTAAATTCGAGAAAAAGTGTTGTTTCAAAACATTCCAATGAACATGATGCTATCTTTCATTTTTTAATAAACAATGATTATTAAACAATAAAAGATAGCATCATGTTCAGTGGAATGTTTTGAAACTACGCTTTCATTTTCATCTTTTATAACATGTAGCCAATTCATCTCTCTTACTATAGGTTAACAAATGAAACATAAAATGGCCAAACCTATGGGCTTGTTTATGATGACTGGGATAGGCTGTATAGTGACATATCATGGGCCGACCTTGTGCGCTTATATATTAAGATGAATGGTATAGTGACTCGTGATTTCATTATTTCATAATACACATACTGTTTATCATTTCGTGTGCGTAGTAGTAACATACTGTACGTAGTTATTAACTGAAAGCTTATCTTAAAGTTTAAAGTGCTTCATAAATGTTTTCTTAAAGCCAAGCGTGACTAATGGAAACAGAGTCGAGATTTCATAATATTATGCAAAAAAAAAACTGATATTGGGGAAAAAAATTAACAAAAAATAGAAATGACCAATTGGAAATAGACAGATAGCCAACCAGTAAACCAAAATAAAAAGATTGGTCATCGCATCCTAGACTATATAATTGCATAGCCCAATGACTGTAAATATGGTGTTTGGCATTATTAACCTCCAATGATAGTCACCTGATTGGGTTGTAGCCTGCAGAAAAAGCTTCAAAAGATTAAAAAACCACAAAGAGGGGACACACTTCCATATGTAGTTTAAGTTCTACTTTGATTAACCAAAACCTTTTATATTATTTGTATGGTTTTTTTAATACTGCTTTTATGTAGAGTTTTGGATTTGAGTAGTAGAAAACCAATATTACTATCTTAACCTAACCAACATCGTGTTTGTGTTAAAGTGCCTTAAAATTATTGTTCTGATTTCTGTTTACTTGTGTTTATTTTTGCAATTTGAAGGAGACACTGATCACATTGGATTTATTATTATGTGTTAGCTTGTATTCATTCATTCCTAGTTGATATTATTATGTGTTTTTGCAATTTTTTGTTGGTTTCTATTTTTTTTCTCGACTTTTTTTTTGTTGATTTCTAATCACACGTATATACAAATCACGATGGTTTCATCCATGCAACATTAAATGGCCGCAATTTTGAGCCTTGAGGTTTGTGTAATAACGTAAAGTGTGTTACACGTCACTCCCACTTAAAGCCTAGTGAACGACAACTCTTCACCTAACAAAAATACCCTCTGAAAGTCACAATTGAATAACATTTTCTAAATCAATTATACATTTAGCTAACAACGAAATTGACTAGGAACGTTGAATTTAAAGAAACACATGCATAATCTAAAATAAATCTCGAATCATCGCAAAGATGATCTTAATCACGTTCACTCCTCTCGTGACACCACAGAGAAACTCAAGTCATCCCTAACCGCACGTTTCAAATCGCTAAAACTCACGTTTGAGCACGCAACGATAACCTTCTCTCTCGCGTGACTTTTATTCCACGTAGCGTCTGCGTTACGCAGAGTCCTCCATTTGCAGAGCTTTCCTCCTTCCATCTCCGCCGCCACAATTTCTCCGACCTCCGCCGCATCATGTATATAAACCATATCTCCCACCGCGTTAAACGATATCGACGTTAGCGACAAATCAGAATCTCTGAGTTTATCTAAACACGCCTTGGGCATGGCTCCAATCGATTCGAATTTTAGATTCATCGACGATTCGTTGGATACGACTATTTCCCAGAGTTTAATTCCCGTCGGATTATCTTCATCTCCGGTGATCCCAGCCATGATTAGACGGTTACCGGCGAATCCGATCACGCGCGAGTACAATTTACAGTCGTCTTCTTCGTCTACGGGAGAGAAATCGAGAAGCTCCGTCCACGATCTAGTTTCTGGATCGAAACAACACGCGACGCCTGATCTCTTCTCGGTCACGTACATCTTTTCCGAACTCGCCGCGACGGATAGCCACGTGGACGACGCGGATGCCCAGAGCAATTCCGGCATCGATTCGCATCTCTCCCACACGGACGCGGCGCCGGATTCGATGTCAAGCAACTCGGCGGCGAGTCTATCGTCCTCGAATTCACACACGCCGCCGGCAATAATCAAGCTCCGTCCGACGACGGCGATGATTGGATCGACCCTCCACACTCTCGGTGGTACCACGTGTCGCCAGTTCAGGTGAAACGCGTCGACTGAGAAGGAGAATCTTGCCGGCGAAAGTGCGAAGAGCAACGTGGAGTGGGAGGATCGAGCAGAGGACACGTGTTCGACGGGAGACGAGGTTTTGAGTTGGATCCACTCATCGGACTTTGGATCGTACGCCATCGCCGTCGACGCCATGGTGTACGGCGGAGAAATCCTCTGTCTGTAGACGAACAGCCACGGCATGGTTTTGAGGCGGCGGAGGGAGGAGAAGACGGCACGGTTCCAGGATTTGGAGACCTGAGAGGCGGAATCGAGGTCGAGGAGCGGCAAAATGGAGACGATAGAGACGAGTATGTCTCCGTCAATGGAACATTCTTCTTCTTCTCCATTGTTGTTGTTCTTATTCTCCATCAAAAGCTTTTTAAAATATTTTCGTAACGATTTTTGATAATGCAGAAGCGATGGGAGAGGGAAAGTCTTTTTATACAATATAGAGAAGTTGGTGATCGACGAGTCACCAAATTATCAATTAAATATTTGCACGAGGAGTCAAAATTGTATTTAATTTATTCATACTATATTATAGTCTCTATATCTCTAATGTCTTCAATACTATTTATTTCACTTCAACTGCTAAAATATTTGAAGTGAGACAAAAATAATAATGGGGAAGAAGTAAGACAAAATTAAAAAGGTCACAAAGGATGTGAAGGTATAGTTATTAGTTTATAAACATTTTGGATCATATTTTAGCAAGTTCAAATGATTCTATAATTAATTTACCGAAAAAGAGGTAGCAAACACACAACTGCTCCAACTAACTATATTTATTCAAGTCAAGTCAAGGAACCATTATTCTACGATCTCAAATCTCAAATAGTTCACAATAAAGGCAAGCGATAAAAATGCATAGACTCAACAACCACAAAAGTCCTGGTTTGTGTTTATATAACATAGCTGCATAGTAATCAAGACCACACGGATTTGTGATATATTCATAAGCTAATGGATTACACAATCAAATCACATAAATAGTTGCAGAATAAAGAGAGTGATTCAAGATTATGAATCCCAAGCTGGTACTTAGGTTTAAACTCCAAAAATTACTATATGACTTAGGCTAATCTCCAAATTCCTACGTCCAAAAATGTTGTGTTTCCTAGGACCTCCAGTTCAGTTCCCACTTGGGAGGGGATGTCGATTTCTTCGGGATGGATCACAGGCTGAACCTTGGCCGAGAGAGAAATTACGTATCCAAAGGGCAAAGGATACTCAAATTTCTTCGATAACCTAAAAAGAAAGAAAGAACTAACTAATGATCATATATATCCCAATTCCAATTATATATGCATATTGATTTTGACCAATATTCTCAAATGTCTTAATCTTATCCAAATGGGTTACCTACTTACGGTTTACATTATTTAGCTACCAAATCAAATAATAAATACGCATTTGACCCACTCACAGCCAGTTATAAGATTATAATGTTATCTATAGAAACTTCTTTTCAGATTTTGTGTATCGAATTATCGATGGTTGGTTGGAATGATCGAGCATGACAATGACCTTATATATCAAGGAGTGGACCCAAATATCCTTCTCAATATGACTCATCTTGATACCATTCGATAAGTTCATGCTCGAAAGTAGTTCCAAACTATGGTGTAATACTGTAATCTGCCATACTTGAAAAACAGTTGTGTGAAGCATAATGTTTTATGTAATGTCAAAGACTCAAGAGTCAAGAGGCACCTACTAATTAATACTCGTTTCTGCGCCTCATCCTCTCATTCATCTCCAAAGAAATGAAATAATTAAATATAACCCGAAGAAGAATAAATGTTGAGACTGGAGTCACTGGACCATTTGTAACTATCCCAACTGCTCTCAGATTTGAGGCTCCAAATGTTCTATTCAAAAATCCGTATTCCACCACAGATTTGATATCAAGAACCACAATGATTGGGAGAAATATGTTGTACGTGCAGTTAGAAAAATTAATCGGAAAGAATGTTTCAATTAAATCAACAGCTACTCATTGATAAGTCTTGAGAATGTGTTGTCACTCATTTTATAGTTTCATAAGCAATTTTAATGTGAATCTGTCATCTACTTGTTCTAAATCTCAAGGAGCCTTAACACTTGTATCCAAGTCTTTCCTCTCGTCTACAAGAAAAAAAAAAACAGAAAATAGGGAAAATGCAATTAGCAAAGTTAATAATGTCGCTAATAGAAATAGATGAAGCAAGATCGTAAGAAAATTGCAGCTTATAAATAAAAAATAACTACAACGACCTTTCTCTCATTACCATTTGATTTAAGGGTCTTTGTCAACACTTGATTAGAGGAATGAGGAGTATATAAGAACTTCCTTTTGGCACTTGAGTTTTTATAATGTCGGTTTAATACATATACACAAGATAAAAATTAAAGTTAACACTATGGCTCTATTTTAATCTCTCCCTCAGCTTCCTAACTATCTTGTCAACAGGCAAAGATCCCACTGGACCCGCCGGTTCAAGCGACTCATCATCATCGGAACACTCATCGTCAAAGTCATCGTCTATGTCACTATACACGACGGGCGGCCGTTCCTCGTCATCTACGTAATCCTCTGCACCATCGTTGCTCGGCAAGACTAAGGCTGTGTAAGTGTGTTCTGCAGCCTGTGAAGTGCCTTCGAACTCTTCCACCTTCTCCAATAGATTGTCTGGACTGAGGTCAAGCTCTTCCAGAACTATTGCCTTGGATGATTCCAAGGCTCGTTTCCAGAGAGAGATCATTTTGGGGCTTGAGATCACCGTATTTGGATCAGACGCTGTTTGTTCTTCACCGGTTTTATCTGAAAAGAAAAGAACGGATAAAAAAAAAAGTATATGAGAAGCAATTTATTGCTATTAGATTGGATAGTGGAGACCCTTTTGCTGTTTTATTCTGAGTACCTGAGGGATCAAGTTCATCTTCTATGTTGGTCTCAGAGAGGAGTGGAGTTAAAGGATTGTCTAGAAACCGCGACTTCCAATCTCGTCCTCTCCACATGAGTATTTGCTCATCGTCGAAGGACAGAAGCACACAAGGAACTAACTCCTGCGGAAAGGTAGTATGAAGAGAAAGTTTATCAGATACATAGAGAAATGTTGAATGATGAAAGAAACTGCATAAGTGAATATGAGACCCTAAGAACGAGAAAGAGAAGATGAAACCAAGCATAATGTTGAAAAGAACCGGATACAAACTTTTTGAAAAATAACCAGAGAGAAATCAAAGTGCATGCGGAGAGTATAAGAGGAACTCCTAAGCCAAGTGAACATTTCAAATTGTTTAATATGAAATTTTCGAATTTCGACATTTGAGATCGACCAAAAGTGATTGCAAAGAAGATTCAGAGCTGTGCAATGTATAGCTGCTAAAAATAAAACCTGAAGAATTCATTGACCTTAAGCTTAGCGCCTATTTTCTTATAATCACTTGGTTCAAGTCCTGGGCAGTCGACTTTCACCAAGGGACTCAGTTCGAAGGCATCCCTAACATCTTTGACCAGCGACACGTAGACTCCATTTTTAGCTGCAATGCAAAACCGAGGCGACAATAGTAAATATTTAACCACGTGTCTCACTTCTTCCTGCACACTATGTGCCAATTTACTTCAGTGAAGGCCAACATTTAACCAAAGTATACGATCTACTTACACAACTTGCATATGGGCTTAAGAGACTTTCCCTTCACCCTGAACTCATGAGCTTCATCTTTGGTCAATCCTTCAGGAATTTCTTGAATGAGCTTAGGATAAACAGGAGCTGCTGGTTTCCACAGCATCAACGGGTACTGCGGGCGTGTGCGGTAATTGTAATTTCTACCTCTGAAGAGGTACACGACACCTCCGACTCTGTGAATGATCTCTCCTCCTGTCTTTTCCTAGATAAGAGGAAAATACAAAGAGCAAGGAAAGTTTAGAAAGCTGGACGACTCGATCCATCACTCATCACAGTTCGAAAGTGGACATATAAAGATGGTATCTTTTGTCACTCTTTCAAGTAACAAAACTGAATAAAGATACCAAACAGCAATGATCTCTCTGCAGATTCTTATATTCCAACAAGTTTCCAGTATATCTTCTCTTAAACAAACGAACAAGAATCAATCAAACACACATACCACTTACACTCTCCACAGATACAAAACATTCTACCAAAACCCAATGGAGTCATTTCTACTTATGGTTACTGGAAAAAAAAACTTCGATCGGAGTCTAAGAAAATACCTCAAGAACACGACAAACGTTATCCATATCCACGGTGGGAACTCCTTTGCAGCGAACCTTACAAACACGCCGTCTCTTCCAATGCGAATGTATCAGTTCCAACATGTTATGCGTGAATCCATCTCTTCCTGTAAACACATATAAATTCCCAGTAAGTGAAACTGGAATTGAAACACCTGATTGAAAACGTGAGACACTCACTTACTCACCCAAATTAACCTGGCGATTATCATGCATATGCGGCTTAATCAGCATCCCTTTCTCCCACTTCTTCAATGGCTCCCCGAGAATCTCGTCTCTGGTCATAGCTTCCTTTGGATACCTCCCGAACGGATACGGCCCAGGCATTTCCACATACTTGACACCGGATTTCCCCGCCGGCGGTGGATTGAATGAATCGAACAGCGGAATCTTCTTCTTCGATTTCTTCAACGGCGCTTTCCCCGTCCACGGTCGCGGCATCGTCGGCGGCGCGAAAGGCAGAAACGCAGGTTCCCGGATCCCTACCGGCTTAGCCTTCGGCGTCTCAGAGTAGCTGAACTGAAACTCGAATGGCGCTCCGGGAAGCTGGTACGAGACGCCGGAATCGCCGATAACGATGGTGCGTTCGCCATCCGACGAGATAACTCCTTCTTTCACCGGCTTGTAGTATCTTGTTCGGCGATGCGGAAGCTTCAGCGCTGGATTTGATTGTGGTTTCGGATTCGTATCAGTGTGATTGCTACTTCTCGGATTACGATTTCTACGGGATGGCGAGTACTTCGGTATCGGTATCGGCGGAGCCGGCCGGAAAGTTCCTGCCGATGAATCCGCCTTCGGAGGCGTCGAAGGTAAAGAAGAGAAGAGATTAACGTCTGGTAGTGAAGCTACAATCGCCATTGATAAATGATTTGAATTTTAGTTTTCTAATAGAAACACACAAGGATAATCTATTTCAGCTCTTCAGAGATATTTCTCTATAAAACGACATCGTTTCACAAATTAGAGGCTTTTTAATTAAGTTTGGGCTTGAGGCCCAATAGTCCAAATCCATTTGCTCGCAACCCTAATTTTCCTGGTATAAAAGCAATCGTTAAACACTCTGCCTCATTTCTCCGAGCAAAAACAGAGAGAAGAAAAATGCAGATTTTCGTGAAAACCCTAACGGGGAAGACGATAACACTAGAGGTTGAATCATCGGATACGATCGACAATGTGAAGGCGAAGATCCAGGACAAGGAAGGAATCCCGCCGGATCAGCAGCGACTGATCTTCGCCGGAAAGCAATTGGAAGACGGGAGGACACTGGCGGATTACAACATCCAGAAGGAATCGACGCTTCACTTGGTTCTCCGTCTGAGAGGAGGAGCGAAGAAGAGGAAGAAGAAGACGTACACGAAGCCGAAGAAGATCAAGCACAAGCACAAGAAAGTGAAGCTCGCGGTTCTGCAGTTTTACAAGGTGGATGGGACCGGTAAGGTTCAGAGGCTGAGGAAAGAGTGTCCTTCGGTTAGCTGTGGACCGGGGACTTTCATGGCGAGTCATTTCGATAGGCATTACTGTGGAAAGTGTGGAACCACTTATGTCTTCAAGAAGCCTGATGAAGAGTGATGATGATGATGATTCTTAAGTCGTCATTTTTCTCCTCTTTTTTTATACTTGCTGTTTTGAACTATCAGTGATTTTATTATGGAACTACATTGGTATGTTGGATTCTAAATTTTTGAGTTTGTTTTATTGAGGCTTAATTATTAGCTGTTTTTTTTGTTGTTCAATAGTGCTCTGTGCGATTTCTGATAGGATGATTAGAATTTGAGTTATATTTTTTGTTGAAACAATTCCTCAAATTTGTTTCATCTTTCTTGGGACTTAACTTGAAAAAATGGTCAAATGGAAATAGTGGCTTGTAGTTGTAGAATTAGGATGTTGAGCCGAACCAATCATTTGTGCTTGATACTTTAGTCTCAGCTCTTTCTTCACTATGGATTGTTATATCTAAGGCGAAATTAACCATAATCGTGTCTTAAGGTTCTGATAACTCTTTTTGACTAAGATCGGCTAAAGATTATAAGATCTAGATATACTCTGTTTTGTGGCCTTGCACGTTAGTCTCGATTTATAAGCTTTGAAAAAAAAAACAAATGTCGAAGTTGCATATTTTACTGTCTTGGCCTTTTGATCAAAAATAGGAAAAACAATCAGAAACCTGAAAACATTATTAGCATGGGTTAAGCAAATAACCTGTGGAATACTCGTTCAAAGGTTTTTTCAGAATGGATCAAACTTTGTTGACTTTCTTTTTGGTTTGACAAGTAAAAATGGGTCGAAACTTTTCTGGGTCGGGCTTGGGTCATCGCATGGGGTTTCGGCCTCGCAAAAAATGGTAGGAAGTTGAGTAAATGTTTAAGTGTGAAGTCTTTATCTTGTGGTTGAACACAACATAGTAGATGAGAGTAAGTGAGACAGAGAGAGCAATAAAGAGAGGGACAGTGGAAATAACATGAGGGAAGAGAGATAGAGAGAGAGCACTGAAACTTGAAGAGATATTGATAGAGAGAGAGAGAGAGAGAGAGAGAGAGAAGACTTTGGGTAAAATGGTCAAGAAACAGTTAGCTATTTTGTGAGAAGAAGAAGGACAAAATCCTAAGATTCCGAGTTACTAAAAGTGATGAGTCTCCTAGAAACACCCGCACTAGTCTCAACTCACTGCACTTTCACTCTCAATCTCATTTCAACCAAAACTCCAAAGACTGTTGAGTTTGTTTCAAATTCATTAAATCCCATTTAAAGAGACAACTACACATGAGACAAAGAGGCATTTCTTTCTCAATTTCACTTGTTTTTTTCTTTCAAACTTGCAAACCAATCCACACACCACATATCATTTATTACTTACCTCTCTTCGATCTACTGACTCTCTGCTCTTGTTCAACGTGGTTTTCCATTTTTACTTGTATATTTTGTAACACTATACTCTTCACCATTGGTTATAGATACCTTTTGTCATTCTATTGTTCAACCTAGTTTAATGTTGCAATACTCGTATATCTAGACGACTATACCATTTATTTTTCATGGATTTGTTTAAGGTATAACATATAGAACGGAGCTTACATTTTCGCGTTTATGGGTGTTTTGACAACTAAATCTCTATCGCAATATATGGTAACTTTCAAAATGTCATGTATCACGTTAGTATATGTTTATGACCTAACTCCTAAGAATATATGCTTATCGCATGCAAAAATCTTAATTAATGCATTTACATCACAGGAATCTTAACTATAGAAAAGTCTTGAAAAAAATTTAAAGAAAAGTCAAGTGAATTGTGACTAGCACTTGCCGACAAAAAATGTTGTCACTAGAACTCCATCATAATTAAGCAATACATATATTCTACAATTTATTTATTTTCTCTAGAAAAGAAAATGTAGTTTACTAAGGAGTTAGGAATGTGATTAATAGAAAGAATGAGAATCATTTACTACTCACAGCTCATCGGGACGATGAAGATTCCAATTATTAGAAGTGAGATAGAGACGCACATAACAAGAATTAAGTAGTGCACTTTAGCATATAAGTATATAACCAAAGTATTTTTACATTAAAGATATAATGTTGCATTAATGATTAACAATAGCTAACTCTATCTATATATACACACACACCCACACACATATATCTCCTATCATTCATCGTACACACACTGTCTCTCTCTCTACAAGAATGCCCAACTTGACAACACTCAACCATCTGTTTGATCTGCCGGGTCAGATTTGCCATGTTCAATGTGGTTTTTGCACCACAATTTTGCTGGTATACTCTAACTTCTGATCTCCATATTTCTCTCTCTCTCTCTCTCTCTCTCTCTCTCTCTCTCTCTTTATCTCTTTCTCTATATATATAGATATATCGATAATCATTTGATGATTATACATGTTTTGCAGGTGAGTGTGCCCTTCACGAGCCTGTCAATGGTGGTGACTGTGAGATGTGGGCATTGCACAAGCCTTCTCTCTGTCAATTTGATGAAGGCTTCCTTCATTCCTCTCCATCTCCTCGCTTCTCTCTCTCATCTCGATGAGGTTACCAAAAATATCTATTATAATATCTATTATATATGCACATGGTCTCTACATTTATACAAACATGGATCAAAATCTAATTAACATATCATTACTTTTTTATATATGTGTGAAGGCGGGGAAAGAGGACGTTAATGTAGCTACAACAGATGGTGTGGAAGAAGAAGCGTGGAAGGCGAATGAGGAGAAGGAGAACAGTCCAGCGACTTTGGTTACGTCTTCAGACAATGAAGATGAAGACAAAGATGTTTCTCGTGTTTACCAAGTTGTCAACAAGCGTACGTTTATCTTTACATTTTGATTTTTTTTCTTCTTCAGATTTCGCTAATTCTGACTAGTCTAATTGATGTTTTTGAGTTTAAATAGCACCTGAGAAAAGACAACGAGCTCCTTCAGCTTACAATTGCTTCATCAAGTAAGAAATCAATCCAAAACACTAGCTTACACACTCGCGTCTATTCTTGCAAATTTTAACTGGTTAAGATTGAGTTTGTATACTGGCTTCTTTTTAATGGGGGTTGGATTTGAGCAGGGAAGAGATCAGGAGGTTAAAGGCTCAGAATCCAAGAATGGCTCATAAGGAAGCTTTCAGCTTAGCTGCCAAAAATGTACTTAAAGCACATCTAATCTTAAAACTTGATAAATAGAAACCCTAATTTGTTAGTTTAGTATCTATCTTAGTCGCGTAATTGAGAGATCTAGCTGATAACTTGTTTTTTTTTTTTTGTGATTTCAATTTGGTTGATTTGGGGACTATGAAGTGGGCCCATTTCCCTCCGGTGCAAACCAAGAGAGCTGCCTCAGATCAATGTTTTTGCGAGGAAGACAACAATACAGTACTGCCATGCAATGCTCTCGAGGTAATTTTTTAAGTAAATAATTATGTTTTTAATAGTACTATGTACTGCTCTACTTGACAATATAAACTACATGCATATATATCATGAAAGCAAAAGTGTTTCATGGAATGTTAAAACAATCATAGCATAATCATTTCCAAAGAAAATTAGATTAGCATTAACTAGATCCAAATAGCATCACTCTCAGTAAAAATTTCAGAACCCTAGCTAGCTGAGTAATTATAAAAAGTTTTTCTTTTTTACTGATTATTAGATTGAAATCAAGGATCGGAGAGGGGTAGTGAAATATCATTGATCCTCAACTACTACGATGTGTGAAATTTATGACCTAAACCCTTTTATAGAATCGAAGCCCACACTGCACACAGTCTACTTTTATAGAAACACATTCAACTAATTAAAGCAACCCAGCTGAAATATGTATATTTTGAGTTTAATTAATTGTTTTGAAATGTTTGGAATGCAGGACCATGAAGAAAGCAATAATGGGTTCCGAGAGAGAAAGGCTCAAAGGCATTCCATTTGGGGAAAATCTCCATTTGAGTAATAACAGTTTGGCATAAGAAATGTGTGATGGTGACTATTTTCTTTCTAGGGTTTGATTTTGTTGCTTTAGGGTTTGTGTTATTGGAGAGAGAGGGAGAGATCAGAAGAATCTGAAACGTACGTAGAATTTGGATGTTCGAGGAGGCCAGGAGGGTCTTGGGAATGAGCGATGTTTGTTCAGTAATTTCGTACTTCTCAGCTTTGAACTTAATTTGAAGAGACACTGACTCTACCAAATCGTACTTTTGCATTCATGTCTGCTTATGCTATGATTGTTTTAACATTCCATGAAACACTTTAGTAAGAATCTTTGTTAAGCTATCAAGTACGAGTATCAATCATAATAAAGATATTTATTGACTTCACTTAGTGCTTTTGTACGATGAGGGAAAACAAAATACATATAACATATACAGATATACTACTAGCTAGTAGCTGAATAATTTTTTTTTTTTTTTTTGAAATTTACATTTGATTGATCTTAGATAATATCATAATACGGAGTGCCAAAATAATTATATATAAACATCATGAAAAAAGAGGTAAAAAGCAAATGTTTTATGAAAAATAAATTGGAATTACTATAGGACTTTCATCTTGACTATGCATGTAACATGAAGATGCGAGGTTAAGAAACCAGGTCAAGTCCGATCTACCTTGTATATGACATATAGTAGTAGAGTTTTCTCCCAATTTCCAGCTCTTGAGGAAGACCAGCGAGCGGATAATTTTACTACCATAAGTTTGGATATCCGGTATCGACAGAAATAATTTCTTATATTTATCAGTATTCAGTACCCTAGATACCAATTAAAGTAGAAACAGATATTAACACTCTCAAGCCTGATCTAGAGAGTGTATATACTATAATCACCAAAAAAAAAAAACTCTGAATCTAATAGCACTCGCATAACATTTGATGCGTTGTGATATACCATATTTGCGAGATCTTTTTTTACTTCAACGCCGAAGAAATATTTCGAAGACATTTTCAGTGTGTGACTGATCTTTGCCTTTTTTTTTAATAAGGTGTACTTAGAGCATGTGCATTAGAGGGATTGTGAGAAAATTGCTTAACATTAATATAATCATTTTTTTTTTGTTTTAAGGATAATTAAGCAACTTTTAGTATCAAGTGTTGCATTAGTGGATTGGGTAAGAGTTTTTAAAAAATTATTAACTTAATCTTCAATTTAAACATTCATTACATATTAAACAAGATTATAAAACAGTACATGAAATTATTAAAATTCAAAATACAGATATTTAAATTGTAAAACTTGTAGTTCTACTCTTGAGAATTTCCAAATTTGTTCCATATATTTTCAACTAGATCTTTCTTCAAGCGTTCATGTATTTGTGGATCACGGATTTGATTTCGTATCCCGATAAGGTTTCCGATGTTTGACGATGTCTCTGTAGAGTATTCATTATCCACTTGTGAAGTTTTGCTTGACTTCCCTTGTTGGAATTCTTCTATGTTATACTGAGTGTACCCATTCCGTTCATTTTCTACTATCATATTATATAATATGATAGATGTACGCATAATATTGCCAATCTTTTCCTTATCCCAGAAAAGAGCTGGATTTCTTACAATTGCAAAACGAGCTTGTAGAACTCCAAAAGCACGTTCGACATCTTTTCGGGCAGATTCTTGGGTAGTGGCAAATAATGATGCTTTATCATCTTGAGGAAGTGGAATAGTTGGTATAAAAGCTGCCCATTTGGGATAAATACCGTCGGTGAGGTAGTATCCCATCTTATACTTGTGTCCGTTAACCCAGTATTGAACTTTAGGAGCTCGATCTTGTAATATGTCATCAAAAACAGGTGAACGTTCAAGTACGTTAATATCGTTTAGGGTACCTGGAGGTCCAAAAAATGCGTGCCATATCCAAAGATCTTGTGATGCTACCGCCTCTAAGACAATTGTCGGTTTTCCAGAACCACGTGTATATTGCCCTTTCCAAGCCGTAGGGCAATTTTTCCACTCCCAATACATGCAATCTATGCTCCCATCATCCCGGGGAATCCCCGTCTCTCTCCATCGTTGAGTAATCGTTGAAGATCTGCGGGCGTGGGTCTTCTTAGGTACTCATCTCCGAACAATTGAATTATTCCTTCAGTGAAAATTTTCAAGCATAACAGTGCAGTACTTGCACCTAGACGGAGATATTCATCAACCGCGTCAGCCGGACAACCATATGCCATCATACGAAGTGCTGCCGTACATTTTTGTAGTCCGGATAGACCAAATCTTCCATGAGCGTTTCTTCTTTGTTGAAAGTACGGAACTTCATTTGACAGGCGATCGACAATGTGCATGAACAGTTCCTTGTTCATTCGAAAATGACGTCGGAAAAGATGAGGCGGGTATGTTGAACCTTCACAGAAATAGTCATTCCAGAGACGGCTGTGGCCTTGCTCGCGTTCTCGTTCTATATATGCACGTTTTTTCCTTTTCAGCGTCGTTGCGGTTTGACGGTCTAACATAGCATAAAACATATTATCAAATGCCTGTTCACAGACCTCTTCAACGGCTTCATCAAAGGAATCATCCGAATCATTGTTGGAAGATGATGCCATATTTTTTAAAAAAATATTTGAATGAGAATATTGGACAAAATATTTAGAGAAGATGAGAGGAGATGAATATTTGTTGATGAGTAAAATATGTTGACGTTTAGAGCTATAAATAGAGAAGAGGAGTAAACTATGTTGACGAATTGCTTGATCTATAATAGTTTACATCCACCACACATAACTTGTGGATTACAAAAAAAGATAAGAGTTTACAACCACCACACATAACTTGTGGAGTACAAAAAAATACAAAACATTACATTCCAAAACACATAACATGTGGTTTACAAATACTTGAACAAAAGCAACGGTCTTCAAGCTCCCACCGATCGTCCTTGTAGGTCCAATTCTCAGAGCAAAAGCTACGGTCTTCAAGCTCCCACCATTCATACTTGTAGGTCCATCTCTCAGATCAAAAACCTGCTTTATTAGTAAGAAGAATGTAAAAAAAGCTTGCTTTAAAACTTCCATACTTGTATACATTGATAAAAACGACTAAAGGATAATGTAAATTACCATAACCGATTCAATTTAAGTTAAGCAACATAAAAACTACATAGCCGATTCATTTTAAGTTAAGCAACATACTACATTGACATCAAAAACAAACACAAAAACTACATAGCCGATTCATGGTTCATACACCAAAACTACATCAATAATTCATTAATAAACTTAGTCTTCAATGCTTCTTCTATCTCAGTTAATGGTTCGGCTTTAAGGAGAAGAGTGTTAAGCAGTTTTTTGTTAGTGATCTTATCCTTCATGGCAAGGTCTCTATCCTTGAGATCCCACATGGTTTGTAGCTTCTTCATATCAACTTCTTCTTCTTTGTTGGAAGATGATCCCACTCCCTTCTTCTTTGCAGCCTTGGCCGCCTTAACTCCTAGTGGCCGTTTCTCTTTATTGCTTCCTTCGAAGACTTCTTCTACATCAAGGCTTTCGGTTTGTGAGCTTTCAGAATGAGCTGTACTTGCATCGACCTTCCTTCTTTTTGGCTTTCCACCTTCTTTAGCAGCAGAAACAGAGCACCACTTTTGGTCATGTCTGAGTTCTCGCCATGCATGTTCAAGGTTGAACTTGAACATGTGATCATTGTAGAAGATGTGATGAGCTGCCTTCATCACATCGTTCTCATTTTGTCCACTGCTTTGCTGCTTCAAAGCTGTTTTATAACAAGCTACAAACTTATAAACGTGGTCATTAATACGCTGCCACCTATGTTTGAGCTGACCAGCCTCTCTATCCGGTTCATTCGCCATCTTCTTAGAGTTGTTGAAACTTTCTGTTATTCTTTTCCAAAAAGCACCAACTTTTTGTTCATTGCTGATGATTGGGTCTTTGGAGGTGTTGAGCCATGCACTTATCAGTACAACATCTTTTACAGGTGACCACTTCCTCCTCTCTTTTCGTTCTTCAGCTGCAGGAATCAGGTGAGAGAAGAGTTGGGTTGAAAAAATTGGGACTTGAGATGAACCAGGGTCTACACTCTGCGAAAAATAGAGTGTGTGTTCCTCTTGACTTGTTAAGAGGTTCACAAACCCCTGTGAGCTACCGTTTGGGTTCATAGAATCCATGTTGGTCGGTTTGTGAAAGACAAGTGTTTAGAAGAGAAGAGTGAGATTTTGAAGAGTTTGAAGAGTTTGGGTTTGTGAGTTTAGAAGAGAAGAGTGATTGTAAAAAGAGTTTGAAGATTTCGGGTTTGTGAGTTTAGAAGAGAAGAGTGATTTTAGAAAACAAGTGTTTATGAAGTTTGTGAAAGAGTTAGTGTTTAGCGAGTTCTATACTTGTTAAAGAAAGTTGTGAAAGAGAGCTGTTAAAGAGTTAGTGTTGTTTTCCTTTTATATTTGTGTTATTTTTAAGAGTTTGGTACATTCAATAACCATCTTTAATGATATCTACTAGTTGTTATCTTAATTGTTAATTTTTTTGATGTTTGATGTGATTTTTAAACAGCTTTTAAGACACTCAATGTTTCTTTTAAACAAGCACCAGCTATTACTACACCATAAAATCTTCACCTAACAAACAACTACCACCATTTACAATCAATACTAACTAATCGCTCATATACAAAGAAAGAAACTATCAACCCTAAACTACAAGTTTAGAATGAAACTAACCTTTTAAGGCATGGCAGCTATTTGGATGCTTGCTTCGATCATTGGACCTTGGACAGACTTCCATGGCTGCAAACAATATGACCCAAACATCACATGTCTCGGTATGAAAATGAAGACCCGAGAAGATAGATTGTTAGTTTGAAGAAGACTTACCTTGGGCTGAGTTTAGATGGAAGTAACATAATCATCAAGAATTCCTAGTGCTCTCTCTCCATTTACCCTCGCCAAAAAATTCATAACATCAATTTCATCATCAACTTCAACTTCATCATCAAAATAACGAGATATATATGCATACACTAAACAAAACCTATCATACACATCACCAACCGATCATTAACATCACTAACCAAATAATTACAACTCAAAAATACTTCACCGATTACAAAGAACCGATCATATACCTCAATACACAAAATACAGTCTATATCTTCATGTAAACGATTTCAAACAGCTCTATTCACGAGTATTATTCACAGAGATTAGCCTAATTTCATTGAACACAAAGAACCCTCAAATTTTTTTTCCGATTCAAAACCCTAATTTCGAAGAAAACAGAACAAATCCGTATAAAATAAAACAAATCTCTCATAAACGACTAACCTTATCCTTCTGAGGACCCAATCCGCCGGAAAACAACTGAAATCGCCGTCGATTTGCTCAAGAAATCCCTGATTATCGCCTTTGAAATCGCCATGGGAGAGAGGTGTCGTTTTTTTTCTCAGAAAATGTGAACTGGCCAAATGTTTTTTCCTTTTTGCGAACACACATAATTTTTTCCTCTGGCCAATAAAAATTCGACACATCGCCTATAAGATTGTGTATGGGTTGGCCCTTAAAACCCTTAGCTATGGGTCGGCCCTTCTTTTTTTTTGGCTCTCTTCCTATTGTTATAACTCAAAATATTTTTATGCAACCCTCTCAATTTTGGTTAAGGGCCTCTAATGCTCATGCTCTTACTCTCTAAAGATCGATCTTCATATATTTTTTTATTTGAACTTTGTGATATTCCCGAAATCCAAATTAAATTCTATCTTATAGAAACAATATGCAAAGGGAATGCTACAACTAAAAAGATAAATTCAATAAAATTTCAAAAGATATAACATTTTTTCAAAATACAAATCTTGTCAGGTTTATTTCCACCGGTTTCCTCTTTTTTTTTTTTAAAGATTTTATATCAACAAATAATTTATCGTTTAGCAAAAAAAAAGCATTTCTCTAACAAACAAAGCATTTATCGTTTAGTATGTTTGCACGTTTTGTTTTCCCAATCTAATAAGAGGGGCAATTTCGTACATACAATCCCATCGGGTTGTGGGTCTGTTGGCAACGCGGCTCAACAACCATTGATGTGCCGGAATCGCAACCTCTTAGAGAGACCAATTATTTTAAACTTCTCCCAATAAAAACACGCCACGTCATCGTCCTTCCCTGTCACCGATTGGATAACGATAACCTCAGACGGTGTCGGTCCTGTCGGAGACGCTTCAATCCCCGACGCTAGTGGCATTTTCGTAGATAATTTCGTAATTGGTGTGCGTTTCATTGAGGCGTGTGCTTATATTAAAGTCCACCGCGAAAAAACTCAGAGATTCTCTCGCTACAACTAGAAACCAAAACCCAATTTTGTTACCTCTTTTCTCAATCCAGAAGTCAAAAACAAAACCTTTAAGCTCGATTTTTTGGGTTTTCGAGAAACAAAACCTTTAACCTCGATCGGGATTTCGCGAAATCCAGGTAAAATCTCATATCCAATCATCATATCGCCAACTGGGGTCAACTCTCTTTTGTAATCACCGATCAATCGAGAAGTTTCGTTGCTTATCGTATTGGTATACTTATCTTGTTCGATATGTTCTAAGAATTCAATTGATTTATTTGAATATGTTTCACTTGTGAAGGTTGGAGATGGGTTCTGAAGGACCAAAAGCAATTACAATTCATGTGACTGGATTCAAGAAATTCCTTGGGGTTTCTGAGAATCCTACTGAGAAAATAGCTAATAATCTGAAATCTTATGTTGAGAAACGAGGCTTGCCTCCTGGATTGACTCTTGGTAGCTGCACTGTTCTTGAGACTGCAGGGGAAGGTGCAAAGTCTCAGCTTTACGAGGTTTTGGAGTCTAGTGTTGCCTCTGGGGATAAGAACAGTAACGGGACTGTTGTCTGGGTGAGAATCTTACTAATTTCTTGAAATGACTGATTCTTCTATTTCTTTCTTTGTCAACTGTTTTCTACTGTAATTTCTTGAGTTCCAGTTTCTTTTTTCTCCATTTCAAAACTGATCATTGAAGTCATCAGTTATCATATTCTGTTAATAGATTTTAAAGCTTCGATAAAGTGTGATTCTGCTGTATTTCCTCTTCTATCTTCAGTGATGAGGGTGTCATTGTGTTTGTCTGCTAAGCAATGATTCCATTCATTGCTCTTGATCCCTTATATCTTTTACTCGGGTGTTTCTGCTTCCTTACAATGAGTTTTAGAGCTTTACAAAATCTAGATTTTCCAAAGACCTTGTAACTTACAACTTGTTTTCTTCTTGGTATTTGAGTGTTTCTTCTGATGGTTAAAAGGCCTAAAAGACACGCCTTTTCTCTTGTTTTTTGGTGCTTCTTTAGCTTCATCTTGGGGTGAATAGTGGAGCAACAAAATTCGCTATTGAAAGACAAGCAGTGAACGAAGCTCATTTCCGTTGTCCTGATCAATTGGGCTGGCAACCACAGGTAAAGTAAAACGATTCGATTTCCACTACTAAGAAACAGATTTATAGAAACTTGAGCCTCATAGAAACTAATTTACCCTTTTCTTAACATTCCTTTACACAGCGGCTTCCTATAGTTGTTGAAGATGGAAGCATTTTAAAAACCAAAGAGGTATATATTCATACACTCACTTCACCGCAAAACTCACGGTTTTTCTTTTCTTTTCTTTCTTGCAACATTCTAATGTGTTTTTTTTTTTGGTGTCGTAAAGACTTCATGTTCGACAGAGTCGATTTTCAAGTCACTGAAGAATAGAGGCTTTGATGTGGTTCAATCAGACGACGCGGGGCGGTTCGTGTGCAACTATGTCTACTATCATTCTCTCAGGTTCGCAGAGCAAAAGGGACACAAGTCTCTGTTCGTTCACGTTCCTTTGTTCTCCAAAATCGACGAAGACACTCAGATGCAATTCGTGGTCTCTATCTTGGAGGCAATTGCAGCTACTTGCTAGCGTTTATCTATCAAGGCCACTATTTGTAAGTATCTATGTGTACATCCTTCTACGAAGCATTGTGTTGTAGCTTGCGATAAAGAAGACGATTGTTTTTGGCTCTGAAACTTTCTGGGTCTGGTAAAGCACGATTAAGAAAGAAGGAGCCTTTGTGATCGTCTATGTAATAAACAAATTCTCTTATTCAAAATGTCAAAAGTTTGGGTTTTTATGTTATATTCTATTGGATATTTCTTGCTTTTGCCTTGCCCAGTTTTTAAATTCATTCTCGGAAAAATAAAAAAGGAAAATGATATTTGCAAAAAGAAAGTATAAAAGCCGGTTTCTTTGTGAAGACGTTGATTGATACTTGTTGAGCAAGGAGCACAAAAGGATTTTGTTTTTCTATATTGAATCAAATGCGAATTGCGGCTAGGAGAGAGATATTACTGTGTCTCGAGAGACATGCGAGGAGCTCAAGCTTTAAACTTTCTCCGCAGAACAACGACGTTAGCTCAACATTTGTCCCCTGCACCGCCGCTTACGGCGGCGACTCGTTTAGCGTTGCGTTCGTTTCTTGAAGAGAACCCTAACGACCTCGTTTATACCCATAACCGCAAGATTGATGAACTGATTAAATCCGGGGACCTGACATCTGCATACGAAGTGTTCGATGGAATGTCCGTACGAGATGTTGTTACTTATAATCTTCTTATCTCTGGTAATAGCCGAAATGGGTGTTCTATAAGAGCTATCGAACTCTACGCGGAGATGGTCTCTCATGGTCTTAGAGAGAGCGCTTCTACGTTTCCTTCCGTTCTGAGTGTGTGTAGCGATGAATGGTTCTGTAGAGAAGGAACTCAAGTTCACTGCAGGGTGATTTCTCTCGGGTTTGGATGTAATATGTTCGTCAGGTCTGCACTTGTGGGTCTTTATGCTTCTTTGCGGCTTCTTAATGTTGCTCTGAAGCTGTTTGATGAAATGTCTGAGAGGAATTTAGCTGTTTGTAATTTGCTCTTGCGATGTTTTTGCGAGACAGGAGATTCCAAGCGGTTGTTTCGAGTGTACGAAAAGATGGGACTTGAAAGTGTTACTGAAAATGGGTTAACTTATTGTTATATGATCCGTGGTTGCTCTAATGATCGGTTGTTATACGAAGGGAAGCAATTGCATTCTCTAGTGGTTAAATCTGGATGGGACATTTCTAATATATTTGTGGCTAATGCGCTTGTGGACTTGTACTCTGCTTGCGGCGATTTGTCCGGTTCTAAGAAGTCATTCAATGCTGTCCCAGAAGAGGATGTGATATCGTGGAACTCGATTGTTTCTGTGTGTGCAGATTACGGGTCTGTGCTTGATTCACTTGATTTGTTTAGCAAGATGCAGTTTTGGGGTAAGAGACCATCGATACGGTCATTCATGTCGTTTCTGAATTTCTGTAGTAGAAATAGCGATGTTCAGTCCGGGAAGCAGATACATTGCTTTGTCCTCAAAATGGGTTTTGACGTTTCAAGTCTTCATGTTCAGTCTGGTCTAATTGACATGTACGGAAAATGCAATGACATTGAGAGTTCTGTGTCGGTTTACCAGAGTTTGCCTGGCCTGACTTTAGAGTGCTGTAACTCGCTGATGACTTCTCTTATGCACTGTGGCATCACTAAAGATATCATCGAGATGTTTGGTTTGATGATTGATGAAGGAACTGGAATCGACGAAGTCACTCTTTCTACTGTCCTCAAGGCTTTATCACTCTCTGTACCACCAAGTTTACATAGCTTCGCGCTTGTACATTGCTGTGCCATCAAATCCGGTTATGCATCTGATGTTGCAGTGTCGTGCTCTCTAATTGATGCGTATTCAAAGAGCGGTCAGAATGAAGTATCTCGGAAGGTGTTTGATGAGCTTGATTCACCTAATATCTTCTGCTGGACTTCAATCATCAATGGCTATGCTAGAAATGGCATGGGAAGAGACTGTGTTGAGATGCTGAGAGAAATGGATCAAAAGAATCTTGTACCAGACGAAGTTACAATCTTGTCTGTACTATCAGGTTGCAGTCATTCTGGGCTTGTTGAAGAAGGCGAGCTGATTTTTGACTCATTGGAATCAAAGTACGGGATTTCTCCAGGAAGGAAACTCTATGCGTGCATGGTGGATTTGTTAGGGCGTGCTGGTTTGGTGGAAAAAGCCGAAAGGCTGCTTCTTCGTGCACGTGGTGATGCAGACTGCATCGCGTGGAGCTCATTACTACAGAGCTGCAGGATTCATGGAAACGAATCAATAGGAAGAAGAGCAGCAGAAGTTTTGATGGATCTTGAACCTGAGAATTTCTCTGTTTACATTCAAATTTCGAAGTTTTACTTTGAGATCGGGGACTTTGAAATCTCCAGGCAAATCAGAGAGACTGCTGCCTCGCGAGAGCTCATGAGGGAGATCGGTTACAGTTCAGTCATCACGAAATATTGATAATGCAAATCGCAGGATAATGTTTTGCTTCCGCTTCATGAAAAAGGAAGAATGAACCCATTTGCAAAGTTCACGTCTTTCACTTGAAGCCATTACACATGATTGACACTCTACAAGGACAACACAACAGGATAAGGTTCTTTATCTGCCGGGTTGGTGCAACAAACTCATTGACCTCTTCTATTTCTGTCATATGATATACTACAGAATGTCTGCTTTTCGTTCCTCTGAACCACATCATGTTTAAATATCTTAAAATTGCATCTTTGAGGTAAAAAAGTTGGAAGTATTTTCAGGGATTTCTTTCTCGTTTTGTTTTTATTTCAGATATCATGGGACCAATATTCATGAAGGACAAGTTGACCACGAAGGTTTTGTGTTGTAGAGGTTTTGGAGTAAAGCAAAGAAGTGGAAAAGCACATGACTTGTGCTTTAAGCGTAGATATTGTTGAAAAACAAGGCCTTTTCTTCATGTACTTTTAAGCCAAGCCAATAAACCCCACAAACCCCATTAATTAGTCTGCATATAAATTCAACCCAAAACCAATCACCTCTGCAAAGAAATCTCATTAGTGGGCAGTGGATATAATCAAACCGGAATCTTCTCTTGGTGTTTTTGATTGAGGCATATGATGGATAAGCTCTTCATTCTTTGCCTTCTGGGTTTATCAATGATAGCTGCAGGGAAAATGGTGTACACTGACCTCGACATCCTTGAGAAGCTTAAGAAGTTTGACGTACCGGACGATGATGAGGATTTTGATAATGATACAAAGCTCTTTGATTTGCCGTCATTTAAAAGCCGAAGTTCTGGTAAGAATCTGGTGAATGTGGATACATTTGGTGCAGCTGGGGATGGAGTTTCAGATGATACTCAGGTGCGTTTGACATCATTTTGCTTATTCCATTATAACGTCAGGTTGTGGGGAATGATACATTTCCGGTTTTACCTATAAATTTTTGCGGTAATTCGATATTTTTGCGCAACTAAACTGTGCAATGCTCTTCTCAAATCAGGCATTCGTAAGCGCATGGAGCAAGGCCTGCTCCGCACCAAAATCCGTGTTACTGGTTCCACAAGGACGGAGTTATTTAGTAAATGCAACAAAGTTCATTGGTCCATGTGAACAAAAGTTGATCATTCAGGTCAGTTTAACATTCTAAGTCCTAAATTTTTTTCTAAATAACCATTATTATCTAAAAACAGCGATCTATGGTATGTCTTATTGAACTCAGAAATTTTGTTTTTTCTTCAGATCGACGGAACAATAGTGGCACCAGACGAGCCCGGCAACTGGGACCCAAAGTTCCAAAGAATTTGGCTCGAGTTTTCGAAACTCAAAGGGGTCGTGTTCCAAGGGAATGGAGTAATAGATGGTTCTGGCAGCAAATGGTGGGCTGCTTCTTGCAAGAAAAACAAGTCTAATGTAAAACACCTTCTATACCCATAATTAGCTTTCTTTAACACGAAAAGTTAAACATCTCGAGCTCTTACACATCTTTCTTGTTCTCTTGCAGCCTTGCAAAAGTGCACCAACGGTAAGAAACCATTGCGTTCTTTATTACCCCTTTTTTTTCTTTTCTTATCAGTATCTTCTTTGTTAGTTTGATTCAACAAGCTGTCTTTTTCCCCTGCAGGCGCTGACTATAGAATCTAGTTCAGGTGTGAAAATAAGTGGCTTGACGATCCAGAACAGCCAGCAGATGAATTTCATCATTGCAAGGTCAAATTCAGTTCGGGTCTCCAAAGTTAAGGTCTCTTCTCCAGGAGATAGTCCCAACACTGATGGTATCCATATCACTGGATCTACCAATGTTGTCCTTCAAGACTGTAAAATCGGCACAGGTTTTTTTTCCTTAAAACCAAAATATATACGCAAATGAAACATTTTTAAACTCCAACAAGGGATGTAGAATAATCTCTTAAGATTGGATTAAACAGGGGATGATTGTGTCTCGATTGTGAATGCAAGCTCGAATATAAAGATGAAGAATATCTATTGTGGACCTGGACATGGAATCAGGTACATCATTCAAATTTCTAGATAACATCTGTTTCAAATCAAATTATAATTCTGTGGAATTTCTCGCAGCATTGGAAGTCTTGGTAATAATAACTCAACAGGCATTGTAACGAACGTTGTGTTGGACACTGCGTTCTTGAGAGAGACAACTAATGGACTCCGAATTAAAACATACCAGGTAATAAAGAAATAAAAAGCTTCAATCTTTACGCTTATAAACCTCTATTTAGCTCGATTTCAATCAATTTGTTTCCATTGTATCACTTTCGAACAGGGAGGTTCTGGTTACGTTCAAGGTGTTCGATTCACAAACGTACAGATGCAAGATGTCTCTAACCCGATACTCATTGATCAGTTCTACTGTGATAATCCAACTTCCTGTCAAAACCAGGTTTCTTTACAATCGTGATTATTCTGTCAAAACAAAACTCAAAAGATGAAAATTAACTCAGATATGTTTTCTTGATATAATGTAGACCTCGGCGGTTAAAATCAGCCAGATAATGTACCGGAACATAACCGGGACAACCAAGAGTGAAAAAGCCATCAAATTTGCGTGCAGTGACACAGTCCCTTGCAGCCACATTGTCCTCAACAATGTGAATCTTGAAGGCAAAGACGGTCAAGTCGAAGCGTACTGTAACTCAGCCGAAGGTTTTGGGTATGGAGTTATTCATCCATCGGCGGATTGTCTGTACTCACACGACGACAAGTGCTTGGACCAGAGTCACAAGCCTGGACCTGTTTTGGTAACCGAGCCTGGCCACGATGAGCTCTGATGGTGGTGATGTTCTAAGTGTTTTAGTGAGGGCTGATTATGTAATATAGTTTTCTGAAGCATATGATACAGTAAAAGAAAGTTTTTCATGTCTATAGTCAACCATAAGGTTTTTCTTAAGCAGCATTTGTCCACCTTTTGTAACATATACTAGTCATCTGCACGTTTTTTTATAAAATTTAAAAGTTTCATATTAATTGTTGACAGAAAAAAGTAAAAAGTTTTATGTTGATGAAATTAAAATACGTAAAATGATATTGAAAAGAAGAAACTATAAAAATGTCTATATAAGTTAGACATAGTAAATGTCTTAAGTACTTTGCTCATATTTGCATATGACAAGATATGATTTGACTGTTAACTATTTAAATGAACACATGCTTAAGATTGGCAAATGAACCAATTGGATAATAATATCACCGTTAATTTCGACAGAGTGTGTGACTTTTTAGGATTAGACTAGATAAAACCCCGCGTGTACACGCGATAATTTTTATATATATAATAGTTTAGTTTATCAATAATATATATATATATATGCAAATTTAAATTTTCTAAATCATGATAGAATTATGTAATCGCAAATCACTTTTTATGGTTATCTCTTTAAATTATTATTAGACATATATCTGTTTGTTTATTATATATTTTCTTTTTTTTTATTTATGAAATAAAGTTAACAAATACGTACACTCATCGATACAAAATATTTTGTTTCAGCTTAGCTTTAAATCTTATCTCAAATCCTTTGAGTTCTGCTTAGAGTAATAAATATTAAAAACAATAATTTCTTTCTAAATATTTTTTTTTTGTTAAAAAAAAATGAAATTCGAACGTCAATAGAATAAATATGATAAAGTTTGGGCATTATATTCTCCTGATACATAAAGAATTTTGTCTATGTGATAGAAAAATAAGGCGCTACGTAAAAAAATTTTATAGCTAATTTTATATTGAATTAAACATTCACTATATGTCAGTCTTATGTATTTACAAAAGATATACGAAAACTATAAACAGAAATTGAACAGAAAAAAAATACCTCCAAAACTTCAACTTCGTTTGTTATATCATCTGCTCTAAACCTAATATTGTTAGGCACCAGAGCATTACAAATACAAAAATATCATAATTGTTCATGTATGCAATAAATAGAAATTATTTATGATTTTTTAAATGTTTTGCAAACAACAAAAAATGTCGCATAAAACTCTAAATTAATATGAAAACAAGAAATAATTATTTTAATGGCTCATAAAGTTTTTTCTTATATATACATAAAATAGGAATATTGATATATATATATATATTGTGTAATTACGCTACATACAGCTTGTTCCTAGCTCTCTTTCTATGAGGGAAGGGTTGGTTATCATTGCCTCCTCGTAGACACGTAGAGTGATTATATCCATATACTTGATCGCATTTCTGATCTGAAACACCAAAAGCCACAATCACTAAAACAAAAGTAACACAAAAAATCTGTATTTTGGATATGTTATTTGAAAACCTTAATTCTTTCCTAATGTTGGTTATGAACGTGACTACAGTGGCGCTATATCTGATTTCTGGAGCTCTTTGAGCGTGTAAGAGAAAGCTGAAAAATAGGTGGAATGCCGCTCTATTTTATAATAACATATGATTATGGCTCTTGATTCTTCGAATTTATTTTAGTATCGTTCAATTTTCTCGGGTGTGCTTTACGAAGTGGTAACATTACAAGTTAATGCATTTTATTTTTATTGTAAGAGAATGACTTTTCGAGATATAAACTACTTTTGTATTTATGTCATGGTTGATGAATTAATTTTTTTTTTGGGATTGAGAAAATTAATTTTTTCAAAAGTTGATGTGTCAAAAGATGGAATACTTATATGTCAAGCTTATTAGACTCAACTGAGTCTTTATAGATTGGAACACATCACATGGGAACACCAAAGGACGCAATTGAGATTAAATTGTTTGATATGTTTGGCACGTGCGAAACTCCCTCTCTGTTTTTTTTGTTCTTTCTTTTTCACAATTAATATTTTCGAATTATCGCAATGTGTGTGTAGCTGTAAACATCAATGACCAATGCCAACCCATTTATTTACTCTTTTTAATTCAACTCAACAACTATACGCCTAAGATCTAGTCTTGGCTTGCAATTTGTAATGTGAAACTAGAATATGAATTGGTAATCAAAATGACTAATTGATATGGTATATGATATAATTATTAAAATTAATTGTTTTGTCTATATCCAGAGGAATGCAAATAAAGATATATTTTCCTAAAAACGAAGAAATAACCAAACTAATATGGTAGAGACCCGGAGAATCTAAGACGTGCGAGAATAATGAGTTTGTTTACCATTAAAAACAAATAATGTTCATGTTCATTCCATTTCCACCTTATTGTAAATTATTGTGAGCCAAAAAGAAAAGATAGTGCAAGTTGTGAAGAAGCAGAAAGTGGTTGGCTTTTTCTCTCGAAAAGCCATATTGAAGAGATCTCTTTGGTGGCCAAGAGAAAGTTTCTTAGGTATATTCACAAGACTCTCCATTTTTCTGAAATTTCATTTGTCAAAGTCTTATCGACTCTTATTGCATTTGCTCCATCTTCATTTTCTTTCAAGTTCTACTTCTCAATCAAAAATTGTAAGTGATAGCCTCTAAAGGTTTATGACTTTTAGAAATTCAAGTACATGTTCTGTATCTATGAACAGCCAAACTTTTTGTTTAATTTTGTTCAGTTGATAATGCAGATCCAATGTGTGTTGTTTTATTTCATTGATCAATCCCCAATTTTTTTCTTTCACAAAAGCCCTGCCATTGAACTTAAAATTTATTCTTGTTTTTCATCTTTTGAAACTAAACATTCAGAAAACCAACCCTACATCATGTATTCATGTTTTTATATATATGTATGTTCTTCCCGTACTAAAACTAAGCTTTATTTGCAACATTTCAAAAAACGAAGTCAAAAACATTTTGTTTATACTTTTATCAGTCTTGAAGCAGAGGAGGAATGTTCAATATTAGAAAAATAGGAGCAAAAGTCAACATCACCTTTACAAAATATTAACGAGTACAACTGTAACATTTAACTTCGGCTTTATCTACCAGGGGAATGGGCAAGTGGATGAAATTGACTAACGATGCATGATGCATCCCAATTCAAATCATAGCTAACACTTTTAATTATATATGACCAATCCTTTTCTTTTCTCTTTAATTTATCTACATTATAATAAAAAGGAAATGAAGAGAATGTGATGCTAGTAGCTATATTTTTTTTTTTTTAAAAAAGGACCAAAAACAAGATCTGGTCCTGACATTGTTATGAATCATCAAACTCAGGACACAAACCAAGATCTCTGCTAGAGGAAAACCTTTCCTCCATGTTCAGGTTTTGAGCTTCTTCAGAGCAGTGAAGAAAAATGTCTCAATTTATGAAGTTCTTTCTCTTTCTTTATGATTCTCTCCCACCTTCCTCTTGGTTTCTGGTGAGTCATCTCTCTGTTTCACTTAGTTATGATTCTTAACCCTTTCACATTATATTATATAACCCTTTTTTGGATTTTTGGGGGTTTTAAGGTCCAAAGACACAACTTAGTATTATCATCAGATGCAGACGAGATCGTTAGAAGTGGCATTATTGGAGAAATTGGATACATTTGGAAGGAGACAAGAATCTTTCTCTTTATACCAATCTTGAAATTCTTAGTGACATTATGTTTAGTGATGTCATTTTTGCTGTTCATAGAAAGAGTTTATATGAGCATAGTTGTAGTGATTGTGAAAATACTTAGAAGAACACCTGAGAAAGTACACAAATGGGAAGCTATAAAAGATGATGATCTTGAGCTGGCCAACACAAACTACCCAATGGTTCTTATCCAGATCCCAATGTACAATGAAAAAGAGGTGAATGATCATTTATTTCTTGTAACCATGCTAAATTAACTTCATATATATATTTATGCCTTCCTAATGAAGGAATCATATTCTTGTTGTTACAGGTTTGTCAGTTATCTATAGGAGCAGCCTGCAGGCTATCTTGGCCGTTGGATCGAATGATAGTTCAAGTTCTTGATGATTCCACAGATCCAGCTAGTAAGGTCCTTTGTTCAATTTTTGCTTCTTTCCCAAAAACCTTTGGTTTTTATATATGATTATTTTCATCTGTGAAGGGTTTTGACATATAAACTGATTGAAAAAAAAAACAGGATCTAGTGAATGCAGAATGTGATAAATGGGCTAGAAGAGGCATAACCATAATGTCAGAGATTCGAGATAACAGAGTCGGATACAAAGCAGGAGCATTAAAGGCAGGGATGATGCACAACTATGTGAAACAATGCGAATTTGTGGCCATTTTCGATGCTGATTTTCAGCCTGATCCTGACTTCTTAGCTCGAACCATTCCTTTTCTTATTCACAACCATGAAATCGCCCTTGTTCAAAGCCGTTGGAAGTTTGGTAAAATAAATCATCATTCTCAATATGTTTGGATTCAAAGCGAGAGATTCTCAATTAGCATTTGTGTATGTGTGTCACATAATGTAGTGAATGCAGACGAGTGTTTGATGACAAGAATGCAAGAGATGTCACTAAACTACCATTTCTTGGCTGAGCAAGAATCTGGATCTTCAATCCATGGTTTCTTTGGATTCAATGGAACCGCAGGTGTTTGGAGAATCGCAGCTTTAAACGAAGCTGGAGGATGGAAAGATCGAACAACTGTAGAAGACATGGATTTAGCTGTAAGAGCTTGTCTTCATGGATGGAAATTTGTCTATGTCCATGACGTTGAGGTACTACTAAAACTCAGTTTTTCATACTATATAACAAGTAAGAAGTTTAAAGATTATATTCAAGATATGATATTCTAAAAATCAGGTGAAAAATGAATTGCCAAGCACATTCAAAGCATACCGATTTCAACAACACAGATGGTCTTGTGGACCAGCTAATCTCTGGAGAAAGATGACAATGGAGATTCTACAGAACAAGAAAGTGTCTGCGTGGAAGAAATTGTATCTCATATACAATTTCTTCTTCATAAGGAAGATTGTAGTACACATCTTCACATTTGTCTTCTACTGTCTGATTTTACCAACAATCGTTCTGTTTCCTGAGCTCCAAGTTCCTAAATGGGCAACTGTTTATGTTCCTACTACAATCACTATCCTTAACGCTCTCGCTACACCTCGGTAACTTCTCTTCTACTCCATTAAAACTCTGTTTTTTTCTTTCTTTTCCAATTTCTCATTGATAAAAAGAAATGTTTTGGTAATTGCAGATCACTCCATCTTCTTGTATTTTGGATCTTATTCGAGAATGTTATGTCGATGCATCGCACAAAGGCGACTTTCATCGGGCTACTAGAGGCAGGACGGGTTAATGAATGGGTTGTTACTGAAAAACTAGGCGATACTCTCAGGTCTAAGTTAATAGCTAAAGCTACAACTAAGCTTTATACCAGATTTGGACAAAGGTACTAAAGTAAAATTAAAAAACACACACACCCTTCAAGCAATTTTGAATGTTGTAACTAATATATATAGTTTAACTTGTTGCAGAATAAATTGGAGGGAACTTGTTGTTGGGTTGTATATTTTCCTCTGCGGATGCTACGATTTCGCTTATGGAGGATCATACTTCTATGTTTATCTGTTTTTACAGGCTTGTGCATTTTTTGTTGCTGGAGTTGGTTATATTGGCACTATTGTTCCTACCGTTTAGACAGACTGAAGTTTTTGTATTTGAGAAACAAATGTTATTGCTATTGATTTAGAACAATTAGTGATGATTGATCTTGGTTGAACAAAGTTTAACTCTTCTAATTTCCCACACTCAAATGTATCATTAGTTTATGTTTTTATGTCGTTATGATCTAAAAATGTGGTTATGGTTTATACCAATGAGCTTCTCAGTAATCACATATAATATCTATGGTTGGTATTATCGGCCAGTGTTATTAAAAACCGATCTGATAATCTGGTCTAAATCAAACCGAAATAACCGATCCAAAAATATAAATCATATTTCAATAACCATCCAATTTCGAATTCAAACCGAATTAAAAATAAAGCTTATCTAAAACTTAAATATTTTATTAAAAATCAAAAAAATATTTGATAAAAAAACATATGAAACTCTCATTAACCAAAAAATCCCAAAAATTACAAAAAATGAATTAATGCGAACCGAAATCAGGATTGAAAACCTCTATTTGGCCAATTTTTTTCTACCTATAAAATTCGGAGAATTATACAAAAACAAGTCAACGTCAACAAGCGTTGATACTGATGTGGCGCGTCCTGATTGATCCGATGCCATCCAAAGCCAATCACCCATCATCGCATGTAAACCGCGTAATCTCAAGACTCTCCACGAAAACATTCTTCTGAAATTCAGTATTATAAGGGTATTTTCGGTACTCCCAATGGTATATTCGCGAATTGACATTTTCGTCCTTTGGCTCTATAAAGATCTTCTCCGTTTTACCATCACGGCGTCGCGCATTTAGCGTTGTTTTGAAGCTTCTTCTTCTCTCTCTCTCTCTTTCAAATTCCGTTCGTGTCTAGCTCGTTGTTACGCGATCTCTCTCAGATATCTTCGAAAGTTTTTCGCAGAGGTACGCTTGATCTAGATCTATGCTAATGTATTCTCAATCCGAGCAAATTTGCAGGTCCTCCATTTTGTTCTTAGGTTGCAGTCCCATTTTTCAGTTTGATGGTTTTGGGAATTGGATCTCTTGTTTTGATTTAGGTTTATGCTGCTCATCGTTGGGTAATGTTCTGAGATTTCGATGTTTTGGTTGAAAATTATGATTCGATCTGCAAATGCAGAGTCTACGTCTGGATCTATGAAAATTATCTTCGTGTTTCACCTCTTTTCGCCATAATTGCTGCATATAGACTGACGATCTATACGATAAGAGCATTAGATTTTGGGACCTTTGTGCATAACTTTGGATCTCCCTTATCTGGTTGTTTATTTTTGTTCAGAGAGATTTTTAGAGTCAATATATTGTATATGGGTCTTTGATATCTTAGAAAAAAGTATTTTGGGGTTTTCTCTCGTGATCTAGAACTGCTTTCGTAATTGCTAATGCATTTTGTGTGATGCGCGGCTCTGATTCTGTGTGTCTTATGGTTTCCCAGTGAAGCAGGATGGGTTTGTCTTTCGCTAAGCTTTTTAGCCGGCTTTTTGCAAAGAAGGAGATGCGAATTCTGATGGTTGGTCTTGATGCTGCTGGTAAGACCACCATTTTGTACAAGCTCAAGCTCGGAGAGATCGTAACCACCATTCCCACTATTGGTAAGTTTTAACATCACAATTCGTGTTTTCGAAAGCTTAATTCCAAGCGAGAAAGAGGTTTCTGATATAGATTATAGATTATCCTAGCAATATGTACTTGTTTTGTCAGTCAGTTTTTGCTTCCATCGGCCTTGATAATTTTAAGTACAAATCATCTACAGGGTTCAACGTTGAAACTGTGGAGTACAAGAACATCAGTTTCACAGTGTGGGATGTTGGGGGTCAGGACAAGGTATGGTTATCATAAAACCTGGGGATCTAATTCCTCATTTGCTATATTGTGCGTTTACGGTATTACTGTTGATGAAGTTTTGAACCAAATAAACTGACATAGCATAAAACCTGCACTTGTTGTCAGATCCGTCCCTTGTGGAGGCACTACTTCCAGAACACTCAAGGTCTTATCTTTGTGGTGGACAGCAATGACAGAGACCGTGTTAGTGAGGCTAGAGATGAATTGCACAGAATGCTGAATGAGGTTTGTTTCCAGAGCGTTCCTTGATTGTAGTAAAGAGCATGCAAGTAAACTTACCAAACACTTGTTGGGTTTTTTACAGGATGAGCTGCGTGATGCTGTTCTGCTCGTGTTTGCTAACAAGCAGGATCTTCCAAATGCCATGAACGCAGCTGAAATCACTGATAAGCTTGGTCTCCACTCTCTCCGTCAGCGTCACTGGTACATAAAACACATAACTAATCTTCTGTATTCCCTGCTTATTCTGGTTATGTGCTTAGAAGTTTCTTAATGCTATAGTTTAACGATTATATAATAAAACCTCTAGATCGATTCATGTCTAAGAACTCTCTCTCTCTCTCCCTCTCTCTCTCTCTCTCTCTCCAGGTACATTCAGAGCACATGTGCCACTTCAGGTGAAGGGCTTTACGAAGGTCTTGACTGGTTGTCCAACAACATTGCCGGCAAGGTAATAAAGTGTCCTAAATTGCAAGTTATTTTGATTTAAGTATCTTAGTGCAAATTGTAATTCTTTCTTCTCTCTTCTTGTTGCTGGTTGTGCAGGCGTAGAGGGAAAGTTCGTTGTTGAGTTGATTTTGCTGGTCAAATCTGGATGCAGGGGCAAACATCATCTGAATTGTTTCTTTCTTTCTTTCCGGTTTTCTTATTGTTCTGTTTTGTTTTTTTGGGGTAAGTGGATTGATTTTGTGATTGTTGTTCTGATTTGTGTAAGGTGGGGGTCTCTTGTATGTAGAACATAGAAACTATCTTTTATATAGTCTGGTAAAACTGTAATCGAAGATTTAATCTACTACTTTCGTGGCTTTTTTGTTGTTGTCACGTTTTACTTTTGCACTTTGATTCCATAAGTTGCAACTGCGGCTACGTTGATTATAGACATCATGGAGCGTACCTATGTTATCTAAGACCTTCTTCACTTTCTTGCTAAAATGAAATTTTGATAAATTCAACATTACCGGATTTGGTGTAAGAACCTGATCTTGTGTGAAATACTAAAATGTTTGTTATCTCGGTCATAGAAACCTTATTTTTTTTTTGCATTAGTAATTTACTTTAAAACCGTCGAATTCGTTACATAACTTCCTTGATTTTGGTCAATAAATTTGTGTATCTGTATAACAATGAATATTCATTGTGATTCCAAAAGATTATATGGATGGAACATTTTTGGGATTACTGTTCAAAGTCAATGTGTTTAAAGGTAATGATATACTGTCTTATACTAGTCATCCGGGGAATAATCTTTCATGTGTATTAAATATTCTCACAAAAGTTGTTTTCCAAAATTTACAATATATGATTCATTGAAATCAAAATCCATTGAATTTACTGTCTTATACTAGTACTCATCGGGGGAAAGATCGACTTTCCATTTTTTACCATTTGATTAGAGGATAGTAGTAACAAGGAAGGATAATCAAATACTTGATAAGCACTTGGATGGTTAATGTCAAGAACTAGTCTACATACACATCTATTGATTGCCTAATTATAGGTCAATTTTTTCATGTGTATTAAATATTCTCACAAATTTTGTTTTCCAAAATTTACAATATATCATTCATTGAAATCAAAATCCAATGAATTTACTGTCTTATACTAGTACTCATCGGGGGAATAATCGACTTTCCAATTTTTATCAGCAATCATTTTGATTAGAGGATAGTAACAAGGAAGGATAATCAAATACTTGATAAGCACTTGGATAATTAATATCAAGAACTAGTCTACATACACATCTATTGATTGCCTAATTATAGGTTAATTTTTTCGGGTATATTCAATATAGCAATACTAAATATTCTCACAAAATTTGTTTTCCAAAATTTACAATATATCATTCATTGAAATCAAAATCCATTGAATTTACTGTCTTATACTAGTCATCGGGGGAATAATCGACTTTCCAATTTTTATCAGCAATCACTTTGATTAGAGGATAGTAACAAGGAAGGATAATCAAATACTTGATAAGCACTCGGATAATTAATATCAAGAACTAGTCTACATACACATCTATTGATTGCTAATTATAGATTAGAATTTTCATGTGTATTCAATCTAGGAAATACTAAATATTCTCACAAAATTTGTTTTCCAAAATATACAATATATCATTTATGAGATCAGAATCCATTGAATTTGTACAATTTCTTTTCGTATATAAATAACAGCATTAGCATTGTCTTTTGACATCGAATATTCATCGTTTTCTTTTCATACACAAATATTCAATAAATTGATAGCGAAAAAACATGAATTTCTCTTTACTTTCTACAATGCTATTAGCATTCGCATTGTCTTCTGTTTGCTTGTTTATTGCTGGTCATGCTCAGCAAGTTTCAGGAAATGCAACAGTTTCAGCACTCTTTGCTTTTGGAGATTCGATACTCGATACAGGCAACAACAACAATCTCAGGACTCAGTCCAAATGCAATTTCTTTCCGTATGGTAGAGATTTTACAGGCGGAAAAGCTACTGGAAGATGTGGAAATGGAAGAATTTTCTCAGATATAATTGGTACATTAACATCTGTTTCTTTTTTTTTTTTTTTTTTTTTTTAAATAGCCAAGTACTACTATAAGGTCTCATTTTCAATGATAATCATGATTACTAATGAAAAAGTTTTTATTTTACCAATTTTTTATTTGACAGTTTAAGTCTTTTTTGTGCAGCCGAAGGTTTGAGCATAAAAACTCTCTTACCAGCTTACCGCGATCCCAACCTTTCGAACAATGATCTTCCAACCGGTGTTTGTTTTGCATCCGTTGGATCCGGACTTGATGAACGCACTGCCAAATTACAAGTAAAAGTTACTTATATTTTGTTTAGAGTAGTTTCTTTGTAATCGTTCTTTATTATCTTCTTTTTTTATAATCTTAATCAATGCATGTATGTGGAATGAGTGTATATAGGGAGTTGTATGGGTGCCAGATCAGGTGAAAGATTTCAACGAGTATGTCACTAAACTAAACGGCGTTGTTGGAAGCCAAGAAAAATCAAACGCAGTTTTATCAAACGCCGTTTATTTGATATCAGCTGGAAATAACGATCTTGCCATCACATTTTCGACTGGGAGAACAAGATACACTATCTCAGCTTACGCTGATCTCCTGGTCACTTGGACTGATAATCTTATAAAGGTAAAAAATTATTATTTTCAGGTTATAACATAATTTTTTTTTCTTTGGAAACTAATTCGTTCTTGTTTTTGTTATTTGAAGAGTCTATATGATATGGGTGCAAGGAAATTTGGGGTTATGGGAACACTACCACTAGGTTGTTTGCCAGGAGCAAGAAACGTTGCTGGAAATTATCTGAAAATATGTTCAAACCTTGTAAATCAAGGGGCTGATTTATTCAACAAAAAGTTATCTGAGAAACTTAACAATCTCGAGACGACACTTCCTGGTGCCAAATTCGCCTATGTAGACATGTATAACCCTCTTCTTAATCTCATCAACAACCCTCAGGCTTCAGGTAACGGCATGACTCAATGAGAACACAAATATATATATTCGTTAGATCTGTTTTTTGGTGTAAAGAATAATATGTTTTTTTGTTTTATTGGGAATTATTAGGGTTTATTGATGTCGCTGATGGATGTTGTTGTATGCCGACATCGCCTGTTCCGTGCTTGGATGCAGCTCGTTACGTGTTTTGGGACTTTGCCCACCCGAGCGAGAAGTCATATCAAACGATTGCACCAAAGATTATAGAAGAGCTCAAGGAGAAACTCGCATGATCGATTTCTATTTAGATGTATTTTATTTAAGTTTAATATTTAAACTATATTGCTCAATGTTCTGTTTCCAAATCCAGTGCTTGTTTCTCTTAGCAGATATTTTGCAATCTTTAATATCGAGTCATTGACATGTCTTGTCTTATGTTCACAATATTTTGATATTTTACATTATTTTAAATTATTTTGTTCAGGGAAAATGTGTGCGAAATGACGAAGTAAAAACATGTTTAGATTGATGAAATTTTACATTATTTTGTTCATCAAATGAAAACTACCGATTTTGTTTTTTCCTTCAAAAAAATTTGAAGATTAGTCTTCTCCTCTCCGGATTTAATAACAAAGTGATTTTAGACCACTATTTAAATGTTTATACCAACCGCATTTAGTGCCGTTTCAAACACCTCGGATTGCAGCAGACAGGTTTTGAAAATCTTGGAGCAGAGTCTTGGTGGTCTCCACGGTGAATCCACGAATGTACCAAGAAAACGGTGGCAGAAGAAAGATAGAAGAAGGCTGAAAGACTCCAGACACCGTCACCTTCGACGCAATCTTTCCTCGTCCGCCGCTACATTTTCTGTAATCTTCTCGAGTCTTTGGCTTCATGTGCTTGCACAAGCGTACAGAATCTACGTATACTGGCTCCACTTTCCACTTTTCCCTCAAACATTTTCATGAACATAATTTTCTTTTTGTCATATACTCCCTGCCGAAAATAAGCCAGAGACTTAAAGTTATTTGTTTTTTCGAAAACTGAACAAAAAGATTGATTTTCTTGAAAGATAAAGAGAAGCTTCTATAGGGAATGATCTTTTCGGTTTTCGGCGAAAACTAGGCTTATCGGGAAGGAAAGGAAGCTCCCGAGCACTGGCACAACTTTCTCCACCTCCACGATCGGCCCTGGTTCATCTTCGGATACAACGTTTTTTGATATGTTTTTCTTTAAAAGAAAAAAAAAAGTTCACACTCTCAAGTCAAATATTGTTATTATACTCATTTGAATCATAGAATGAGAAGTTAAAAGAAAGAAAGAGAAAAAACCAGAAGTCCGCGGTTCTTGAAGTTTCTGGTGTAAGGTTGGTTGTTTGGACTAGCTAAAATGTCGTAAGCTACTTGAGGAGGCAATCCTAATACCATTTCCATTTCCATAACGCATATACCCTCTTGTGTTGCCACCTTCCAATATAAAAGGTATAAGAAAGTTTTGGAATCTTTTTTTCTTAATTCTAGCAATTCCTCTTAAGGCAGATCTAAAATCTTAAGTACTGAGATTTCATTTGGTGATTTTGTCTTTACCTTCACCTTAGGAGGGGCATCATGCCATGGTGCCCTTTTCTCTGCGTCTCTCCAAAGCCTTAGTTGCTCCTTAGTTTCATCTCTCTCCTCGAGAGTATTTATCTCTGAAGCTGACTTAGAATTAACATTTTCAGATTTCTTGGACTCAGCCTACAATAATCATAATCTAATTTTATAACTAACGGATATAGTAATTTATACTGCCTTCTCTTCCTCTTGTTTGATTGACGGAAATGAAGCTAACCTTTGTAAGAGGTTGTTGAATGTTTTGATTGACCCACGCACCAAATCCAGGAAATATATCCATTTCTCTCTGAATATTTAGTCCACAGAGAGAAAAGGACGGTCCAAAGAAAGTGTCTGAGAGATAGTTAGAGAGATAAAGAAAGAGTTGACTTACAGAGGAAAGGAAGTCAACGTACAAAGATCTTGTATATTATATGGTTTCAAGGACGTTAGAAAGATGGATTCAGATTTAGACGAAATATATTATTAAATTGAAAGAATAGCAGAGGTGGAGTGTACCTTACGTTTACGTACCGCCAATTAAAAAAAAATGAAACTGGGCAGCTAAATTCTCGTGACTTCTTTCTTGACGTACAAGCTAGAGATACACTATTTCAGCCTACACAAATCTCTTGGTCACTTGGGCTAATGATAATTTATGAAATGAACAAAATCAATATTATTATGGTTGTCTATTGTATATTTCCGCAAACTAACTACTAGTTTCTGTCTCTGTTTCTATTGGTCAAACTAATTACTTCGATTTGTTTATTTATTTTTGGTTATTTGAAGAGTCTATATGATACGGATACAAGAAAATTTGCAACACTGCTATACAGGTTGCTTGACAGGAGCAACAAACTTAGCTGGAGATTTAATGAAAAAAATGCTCAGTGTTAGTGGCCTTGACATTGTATAAGGGTTTTTAGAAGAATATATGTGTGTAATGACATTGAGAAAAACAACTTTAGGAGTTGCATTTGTGCAACTCTCTTGTCCCCATTTTATATGATATCAGTCCAAAATCTCTAAGCTAGATTGTCTCTAAAGTAATTTCCATTTCTTTATTTTCAGCACTTAAATAAAGTTCTCTAATGAGTTCTCTTATTTTCTATCTTAGTATGCGCTTTTGACCATAAAGCTACCGTGTTTCGAATCCACTTACAGTACAATGCTATTAGGATTTTTTTAAAAAGTGATTTTACAATACTATTTTTCTTGTTGTTACCAAAGCAGTATTATCGTGTGCGTTTCAAATACCTCGGATCACGGCACTCGCAGTTTGAAGATCTTCGGCCAGAGTTTTAGTGGTCTTGACAGTGACCTTACGAATGAACCAAGAAATTGGTGGCACATTAAAAAGAGGAGAAGGCTTAAAGATCTGGTCCAGTTTCACTTTCGACGCAATCCTTCCTTGTCCGCCACTACATTTTCTGTACTCTTCTCGACTCTTTGGCTTCATGTGCTTGCAAAACCGTTCCGAGTCTACGTACATTGGCTCCACTTCATAGCTACCCTCGAACATTGCCATGTATCTCATTTCGTTTTTCTGTTTCCCATATAGTACCTGCCGACAATAATTAGCCAGAGAAACCAAATTATTATTATACCAAGAATGAACATATAAAGATTAATAAATATCCCGAAGAGATAAAGAGAAGTTTCTTACAGCAAGTTCTCTTGGTTTTTCGATAAAATATAGACGTATTGGGATAGTTCCAGACCACCAAAGGAAGTTCCACGACAAAGCTTTCTCAGAATCCACAATCTGGCTGTTTTTTCCTTTATTCTCCGACTCAATTTTTCTTGATATGTTTTCCTTCGTAAGAAAAAAAAAAATTCACTATCAAAATATTGAGTTTTGTTAAAGCTCGTATGTTTAAAGTTCTCATTTAATTTGAATCGTAGAATCATAAGTTAAAAAAAAAACAAACCAGAAGTTCGCGGTTTTTGATCATTTTGGAGTATGGTTGGTTGTCTGGATTAGTTAAAACGTCGTAAGCTGCCTGAGGAGGCAATCCTAATGTAAATTCCATTTGCATATGGCAAAGGCCCCATTCTAGATCATTTCTTGTTTCCACCTTTAAACATAAGAAAATATAAGAAACATTTGGGATCTTTTTTTTTTAAATTAGTTCTATGAAGGTAAAATATCAAGGTATTGAGATTTCGTTAGCTGATTTGGTCTTACCTTCACCTTAGGAGGGGGATCATACCATTGTTTCTTCTTATTTTCATCTCTCCAAAGTTTTAATTGCTCCTTCATCTCATCTCTCTCCTCGTGAGTATTTTCTTCTGACATTGACTTTTGTTTAACATTTCCAGATCTCTTGGACTCACCCTACAACAACACACAGAATCATTATCTATTTGCTATTATATTGCTCAAAATGGCAATATTTAGAATAGAGATAAAAATCATTTGTTCTATTCTTCTTTTCTTTTCTTTTTTCAGCTGGGAAAATTATTTTTCCGGGAGAAAAAATTCAAAGAGAGAAAATTTAAAATCTATATGATATCCTCTACACAACATTGAAAAAAAAATTGAAACAATTACAATGACTAATAATAGTTTAAGGCTTTTCAATACCTAAAATATGGGTTTCCTATAACTTAACTTTTGATGCTTTGGATGATAATTAAGTAGTAACCAGTAAAAGCCATAATCAATTTATTTTGAGTTCAGTGATTGGGTTCTCTAATTGATGATGGAAATGAGACTGACCTGATCATGAGATTGTTGTGTGTTCTGATTGATCCAGCTACCAAATCCAGGAAATATACCCATTCTTCTCTGAATTGTTAGATTAAATGACGATCCAAAGCGAGTGCCTAAGAGAGAGTTAACTTATCGACGAAAATAAGTCAACGGGACAATATATGGTTTAAGGGAGCTTAGATCAAATATGGATTTAGAGTTAGAAAAAGCATAATTCGAAATTGAAAGAATAGCGAAAGTAGAGTGCACCTTACGCTTACCCCAGGAAAAAAAAAGGAAAAAGAAACTGGGCAGCTTAATTCTCATGACTTCATTCTTGACGTACAAGCAATAACTGCATGAAGAATGTTTCTGCTGGGCCGTACGTGAAATTCGAGCATCATGGACTTAATACGTATTTAATGGGCATATAATTAAGCCCACAAGGGTTAGTGATAATAATAATGGCAATTATATACTGGATCAAATGTTGCAATATGTTTTGTGTAATTAGTTGTGTTAGAATATGTTTTTATCTAAATAAAACTCAAACCTAGAATTTTTAGTTAAAACTACAATAGGTTTGAATTGTTAACAATAGCATTATACTCATTTTTGAGATGAGTAAAGTGATTTTGAAGATCAGTATATACTGCTATATTCGAATTTATAATAAAGTGATTTTAAAACACTATTTAATGTTTAACCAAAATGGTATAACCGATTGATACATTTCAAGCACCTCGGATCCTGGCACACGTAGCTTGAAGATCTTGGAGCAGAGTCTTGGTGGTCTTGATTACAATCCCACGGATGTACCAAGAAACCGGTGGCAGATTAAAAGGAGAAGATGGCATAAAAGTCAGGTTCATTTTCACCTTCGACGCAATCTTTCCTTGTCCTCCGCTACATTGTCTGTAATCTTCTTGACTCTTGGGCAATCTGTGCTTGCACAAGCGTTGCGAATCCACAAATATTGGCTCTACTTGCCAGCTACCCTCAAAATCTTTCATGAACATCATTTTCTTTTTCATATATACTGCCTGTCGACAAAGAAAGCAAGACAAACCTAAATCAATATGCCAAGACTACACCAAAGAAAAATTAATATGCCAAAAAAATTTCTTACAGAAAGATCTTTTTGGTTTTCGGCGAAAACAAAAGTTATTGGGATAGCTCGGGACCACCAAAGGACGTTCCATGCCACATCTTTCTCCTTCTCCACAAAATACCCCGATTCATCATTTGTAACAACTTTTCTTGATTTGTTGTGCTTTATAAGAAAAAAAGATTAACCCTCAAGTTTTGTTGTAATTAATACTCATTAATTCGAATCATGCAATGATAAGTTCAAAGAGAAACAAACTATAAGCTCGCGTCCGTTAATGATTCTGGAGTATGGTTGGTTGTCTGGATTTGTTAAAACGTTGTAAGCTGCTTGAGGAGGCAAACCTAATATCAATTCCATGTCGATAAAGCAAATACCCTCTAATGTAGTCACCTTCAAACATTAAAAAGTATTAGAAATTATTTTTCTTATTCTCGTAATTCGTTAGCTGATTTTGGTCTTACCTTCACCTTAGGAGGGGGATCATGCCATGGTGCCTTCTTCTCTGCGCCTCTCCAAAGTTTTAGTTGTTCCTCAGTATCATCTCTTTCCTCGTGAGTATTTATCTCTGACATTGATTTAACATTTTTAGATCTCTTGGACTCATCCTACAACAACACACAGAATCATTATCTATCTTCTATAATTTTATATTGATATTACTTCCTCGTGTCCTCTTGATTGATGGAATTGAAACTCACCTTTACAAGAGGCTGTTGAGTGTTCTGATTGATCCATCCACCAAATAATACAGGAAACACACGCATTTCTGAATGAAAATTTAGTCCACAAAGAGAAATGTTGATCCAAAAAGAGTGTCTGAGATATAGTTAGAGAGAAAAAGAGAGAATTGACATAAAAAAGAAAAAGTCAACGGGATAGAGCTCAATTCTCGTGACTAAATTAGGGAACCTTAGTTAGAAAGATGGATTCAGATTTAGACAAGATAATATGAAACTGAAAAAGTATCGAAGGTGGAGTGTACGACACGTTTTGCGTACCACGAAAAATGAAACTAGGAGCTCAATTCTCATGACTAAATTAGGGAACTTTAAAAAATATATATTAGGCATTTGAAATGCCGCGTTTCCCTGATTTAAAGTGATGTTATTATTACGCAAAATATTAAGACCACAAACATGCGGAATAAGTAGAAAATATTCCCTAATTAAATACGGAACGAGATGCATCCAAGCATTGAGACAACTTTGTGATATTCATCATGATATGAATTATGATAAGATTAATGTATTGTAGAGATTTCTGCCACCCTGTCGTCTATTGAGACTAATAATCATTAAAATTTGAGTTACTGTTAGAGGATAAATATACAAATCTGTTTCTTGACCCTCGGAAATTCTTTTTGTGCGCCAGATTTTTATCAGAGAATGTATGACTTGTAAAGATTGTTTTAGAAGATGATTGTTTAGCAAAAATTTGCGGCTAGAATTATTGAGAACGAATGTTTTTTCTTCATTAACGGAAAGGAAGTAAAGAAGCAAGCAAAATCAAAAGATGACGCCATTATACACAAACACAAAAAACATTCAACTGATTTAAAGAGACATAAATATAGTGAAAAAACAAAAAAAAATGGCATGAAGAAGACAAAAGCGTGCTTTACGCTAATCCCTATGTTGTGTAAACTTTAAACCATTTTCTCTCGCAGAGCCCCACAACATTCGATCCCTTTATCCAATCACTCAAAACAAATTATCACGAGACAAACAAAATCTTATCTTACACTTAAGTATATAAAAGAACAAGTGATAATAGCTCTAAACAGTGAAGTCGTAATTGTTTAACCGATCATCTGAATACTAATTTTTTTTTTTTTTTAAAAAATATTAATTTCCATTTCATCTTCCCAAATGGGGCATCGTTACAACATACAATTACACTGGAAAGCAATTTTACAACAGTTATAATAATTGAAACTTGTGTGATGATTAGTCGAGAAAAGCTTTCGCTGAAACTAGAATTGGAAGAATTTAAACCAAGTAGTTAAGTATGATTCAGAGTAAACTAGTATATATACAATCCACAACAACTAAAGAAGACGTCAAACAAAAAATAATCCACAAGAAGAAGAAAAATATATGTATAGAGGGAAAAATATATGTATAGAGGGAAAAATGATGTATGGCATCGAAACGGGGGCTTACACCATCTACACTATTCTAAGGCCTTTTATTTTATTTTTATTCTCCTTCTTCCATAATTGTTTATGTAAAGAAATTCTGTTTGGTATTCAATTGTATCACTCACCAATCAACAATCACCTGTCAGTATCTATATTTGCGTAACTAATATACGCATACAAAATACTCTTCTTCAATAAAAAGTTGACTATGTAGAGTATATTATTTTACTTCTCTAGAGAATATTTTTGTGTATCTCTTTTCTAGGATTTTTGCAGTTCTATTACACATTAACATGCACATATACATACCACTACGTTATATAAAAATTTGAAAGCATTGTCTTTAATATAGAGGAGGAAATTATTGGTTAAGCACACTCCATAAATCTTTTGATTTTTTCTTTGAAAAGATGAAAAGGTTACAAAATCCCACTTTATCCTCTCACAAAGAAAACAGATTTGTTCCAAAGTGCATCTCTCTCCTTGCACTTACACATCACAAAGAATATCTTTAGTTGTCTCTCTTTATAAAAAAGAAAAGAAAGAAAAACAACAAAGAATGTTTTCCAATTTAAAATGTTGGTTTCAGACGACCCATTAGTCTTATTCCTTTTCATTACCTGTCACTTTTGTATAATACATATTCATTAGCAACTTTATTCAAACCACCAAATATGCTTACTATTAATTCATTACCCCTAATCTCACATGGAATGAAGCATATTCATATTTCTTGTTCCGCAAGCACCTTCTCAATAACCCTCCTTAGTCTCTACTCAAGGAACTCCAAACAAAAACTTCTCCAACATCTCACAACTCCAACATCTTCTTATTAAACTCCCTAAGAACCAAACGAAAACCAAAACCTAGAATATATAGAAAATGGGAGATCAAGGAGTACAACAGATGCAGCAGCCTATTGTTGTGTATCCAAACGCATACACTAAACAGTATCCAGTCCCATCTTCTTCATCATCATCTTCTTCCTCTGGCTCACGCGGTTCCTTTGGGACGGTCTTCATAGTCCTAGCCGTGATTCTTGTCTTGTCGGTTATGGCTTGTGTCTTCGGGAGGCTATGCAACCGGGAAAGCCGTGCGGCTAAGCAGCAGCATAGCAAGCATCCAAAGCATGAGAAAGGATCGTCTAAGAAGAGCCGTGAGATTCGGCCTGTGGAGCGTGAGCCGAGGGAGAGAGGCGATTTGGAGTTTGGGTTGGATATGAAGCGGCCTGAGCCACTTGAGAAACCCTCTGGAAGAGAACACGATGAGGACATAGAATTTGGATTTGATAACAAGAGAATAGAAAGAGGTGGAGGAGGACCACCTCTTCCTCCGAGTATCAAACATGGAGTGAGGTTTAAGTTACCCGAAAATGGAGACCGTCATGGTAAAGGCGAAATCAGACATGGAGGTCCTGACTTCGAGTTCCGACCAGGTCACTAATGATCTTAATTTGTCTACCACTTTATGTTTATGTCTTCATTGCTTTTTTAACTTTTATTTATTTTGTGCTTTTTTCTTTTCTGGATTGATTTGAGCTGAAGCTATCAAACTTCTTATAGTCTCTTGGTGTGATATATATACAGTAGATACTCTATATCTGTATATCTAAGGTACTAAATAAATCTGATGTATGTAGAATTTTCTAAGTAAATTATGTAAGAATCTTGGTAAAAGAATCAACAAATTTATGGAAGAACGTTTTTATCAGAATACAGAGTTCTTCACTATCCTCCTCACTCAAACAAAAATCAGGAACGCAAAACGCAGAAAAGGTAAAACAAGTTACAAATAACTCTTAAGAACTTTTCTGGATTCTATTTTTTTTTTTCTGAGGGCATTTAGCCATTAGAGAACAAAAACTAAGGACACCTACCAAGAAATGCATCTCACACAATACACGAAAAGAATGGCTTTACAAAGCATTAGAAAGAGGCAGAGGTATGTGTTACTTTCACCTATTTATATGATCAGAACCGTCGGTTATTGAAAGGTCGAGTCTCGGATTCATTCCCTGAGAAATCAGAGGAGCTTTTGACGGAGTAATCTCCACTGTACATCCCTGACTCTGTGCTATCATTAAAACCAAACGCCATTTTCCTGAACTTCATGATGTCTTGGTTGTATTGCCCTGAGTCATAAGTTGTGCTTTGCCCAACTTTGATTCCGTTATTAATATCTCCTGAGTCTCCATCGCAGTCCAATGCTCTCACAACCTTATTTTACCAAAAAGATGAGTTTTCAGATGAGATAAAATTGGAATCAAGAACTTGTTGCAGAATTGGACTTTGGTTAGTCACAACAGTTTTGAACTTTTGTTGGTCAGAATTTTACCTGAACCATGCGTGGACGTTTTGGACCAGAATGTCTAACACATGCGGCCGCTGTCTCAATCATCCTGAAGACTTCATGCTCCACATAATGTTTTTCTAACCGTCTATCAATCAGTTCGCTGTAATCTCCGGTCTCAATGGCTTTGAGAAGGAGTGGGCGTGCCTGTGAGTTCATGTGTAAGTAATGCCTGACTAAACTAGTGCCAGTCTTGCACTGTAATTAAAGATTGTTCAAAGATTGGTTTTATTACCCATTCGACCAAACTCTCTTCTCCTAGAGGCTGGTTCTGGTCAACTGGTTTCCGTCCCGTTACAAGTTCTAAGAGAACAACACCGAACGAGAAGACATCGGATCTATCAGTAAGTTTTCCACTTGATGCATATTCTGGCGCTAGGTACCTGAACATAAAACATGTTAGTCTTGATCCCTATAATAAAAACATAGGATCAATAAAGATTCAGTTTTGATCCAATCAAATACTAAGAAAAGTATTTTCTCGCGCCAGATTATACACACTTGTCTCCAGGCAATTGATCAATAAAGGTCCAGTTTTGGAGTAGAGTTTGTGATGAATGCTTACCCAAAGGTCCCCATAACCCGAGTTGAAACGTGAGTTTGTGTTGTATCATTGAGTCTAGCAAGTCCAAAATCAGCAACCTAAATACCAGAAAAACAAGAAAAAACAACGAGTCTCATCAGCTAAAAGTGTATAGAGTCGTAAGATAGATACAAAAGTAAAGTGGGGTTTTATTCATTGCCTGAGCTTCATAATCATCGTCCAGAAGAATGTTTGCCGATTTTATGTCCCTGTGAATGATTTTTGGATGACCTGTAAAACAGAACAAGGATGTGATTTTCTTATGTTTTGAACTATGAAGTGCTTAACCAAAACATACAACGAAGTCTATGATTCTGTTTGCATCTGAACTATCAGCGGTTTCTTAACAAATGGATGAGGAGTGACTTACAGTCTTCGTGCAGATACGCCAAGCCTTTGGCTGATCCTATAGCGATCCGGACTCTCTTAGCCCACTCTAAAACCGGCATTCCCTTTCCTATCAACATAGAACACGTGAAGTGAGCCAATCTGAGCACATTGAGCTACTAACAGAAATGGTAAAAAGCCACTAACCGTGCAAATGATGCTCCAACGTTTGATTCGAAACAAACTCATAGATAAGCAACCTATGCTGGTCTGAAATGCAGTAACCAACCAGAGAGACTAAATGTCGATGGTGAACACGGCTGATGATCTCAACCTCTGCCTTGAATTCACGGTCGCCTTGTCCGCTCCCAGCTTTAAGCTGCTTAACCGCAACAACTTTACCATCATGTAATGTACCTTTGTAGACGCATCCAAACCCACCTTCTCCAAGAATGTTTTGACGAGCAAAGCCTTGCGTAATATCCGCAAGCTCTTCGTAGCTGAAATGAGTCTGGCCACTTCCGAGAATCGCAGAGTCAGGCGTGCCGTTGGATGGCATTTGATGATGACCTCTTTGGCTACCGTAGCTGTTTCCCATAGCGGAATGTTGCTGTGAATTGTACATTGAACCGCCAGGACCAGAGTATCCTTTACCAGGATCTTGATCGTATAAGAATCCATCTACATCTCAAGCAAACAAGTAAATTAATTTAATCAAGACAAGCATAGAGATGATCAGGGAGATAAAAAAAAAAAAAGCAAAGATTTTTAACCTGATTTTACAGAGAAATTTGGGTGTGGCAAGTACTGTGAGTGGCCATAGCTATCAAGATTTTTCTTTTTCTTTCTTCTCACCAAGAACACAACTGCTATTAGCGCCATGATAGCGAAACCGGCCACAGCCATACCGGCCATAGTCTTCCCTTGATAGCCATTTCCGTTGCTGTTGTTTGTTGGAGGCGTTTCTCTGCTCGGGACGGGGAGAGATGGAGACACGACGGGTCCACCGGAGTCACCGCTTGGTCTAGGTGGTGCAAGGAGTGGGCTAGGTGGCGCGTTTGGATTAGCCGGAGGAGAATTGGCTGGTCCTGATGGTAGCAGCGTTGGAGGAGAATTGGTGGTGTTTGATGGTGGAGCCGGAGGTGAATTTGTAGGTTGTGATGGTGGAGACGGAGGAGATTCTGGCGGTGGTTTTTCTGGGTTTGTTGTAGATGTTGGTGGAGGAGGCGATTGAACTTCTGGAGATGGAGGAGGGTTATCGGATTTGGTCGGTGGAGCCGGTGGTGTTTCTGAATCCGCCGGAGGAGGAGGAGAAGGGGGTTTAGTTGATTTTGGTGGCGGCGGAGAATTGTTTGATTCGGCCGGTGGAGAATCGGCAGGTGGAGGCGGAGAGCTGAGTAATGGAGGCAGAATCGAAGGTAGCGGAGGAAGCTTTGAATCGGGAGGAGGAGGCGACGGTTCTGGGTCGGACGGTGGTGGCGGTGATGAATCAGCCGGTGGGCTAGGAGGCGATGAGGAATTAGCCGGCGGAGGAGCAGATTTCTCCGATGAGTTAGCCGGCGGTGGACCTGAATCCGCTGGTGGTGCTGGTGGTGAAGAACTCGGCGAACTGCCCGAGTCTGACATTTTTTCTTTTTTTCAAATTCCTTCTTCTACTTTGATTAAGATTCCAGAAATCAAACACTCAAAGTGTTCCCTAAATCCCAGAAAATTCAATTTCGTCTTATGTTTATCTCAATTGACGAAGAACACAATTATCTCTCCTCCAAAAATCCTTTATGGAAACTATTTTGTCAATAAATTGAATCCAATAAAAATGATCAAACAACAAAGGAAAACAAAATCAGAAAACACACCTAAACGCCAAATTAATGTTTGATTTTCTCCTCGAAAATGAAATGAACTAGGGTTTATAAATGCAGGTGGAGAGAGAGGAGAAAATGCGAGCTATTACAGACTAAAGACGTGAATAGAAGGAGAACCTCTCTCTCTCCCTCAGTTTATTTTCCCGGGAAAAAAAATAGAGAACAAGAAAATAAAAACTGCTAAGGAAACTAACAAATCGCCATGATCTTTTTTAGCGATGATAAGTCGTAGACACGTCTCGTGTGCCCTTTGATTCAAAAAAAAAAAAAAAAACTCTTTTTCTCTCTCTACGAAATTATTTGTTTCTGTGATTTCTTTTTTGTTTTCCTCGTATTGACCCTTGTTTCTTTTTGGGAGGCCAATCCTTGATTCCCGGGTTACCGCGCAAATTCAACGGAGTTTCGAATGTTATCGGGTTCTCGACCCGACCCAAAAACTCTTCGAGGTTTATAAAACGATGAAGAAGGGTGAGGTCATTCTTTAAAGGGCCTTTTTATTTGGGAATATAAAAGGGCCTTAATAAGGGACACATTACTGAAGCCCATTGTTTATCAAGCCCGAATCATTTTTCCAATTTTAGAGTTTTTTTCTTTTTTCTTCTTTTTTAGTACAAGGCAATGAGGCACTGGCACGTTCGCTTTGTTTTGGGCTTTGATGTGCAATGATGATTACTACTTTTGGTGTAATTTACATAACTAGAGACGAATTTCGTTTTGTCGACATTGATTCAACGACATTTTTTGGCGGTTAACAATCAAAGTTTAAAATATCGGTTATTTTAATATTTTAATAAATCTTATTGTGCTAAATATCATTGAACCGACATGAACTAAATACATTTTTTTACCTTCATTGTTATTGGCGTGAGTCATTAACATGTCGCTACTGACTATTGTTTATCTTTAACGCCAACGCTCGTTAAACCTGTTCTTTTCAACATCCTTATCGATCTAAATATTCACTGTTGGAGGTGAAAACTGCACTCCGGTTTTCTCCGGTACAAACCAAAATCGGCATGACATAAGTCTGGTTTACGAAGGAATATACCGGGAAGACTGGGCTTAGTAAAACTTTGGGCCGAACGCAGTCCATTAGGCCGAGGTCGGCGAGAAGCTTCTCGAAGGAATAGAGAGGTTCCCCGAGATCAGTCAAAAATAGGAAAGTTTCCTAACGAAAAAAGGAAACGAGCACGAGAAAAGGAAAGGAACCGAGAGAAAAGGAAAGTCCTCTCGGTCCCATATCGCCGAAAATGTGCTTAAAGACCGACTCAAAAGATATATATAAAGGGAGATGAATCGACATCAGAGAACACAAGATATTCCAGAAAAGACTTAGGAACTGAGAACTCATTACGCTAAGCTCTTAAGTTTCGTTAAGTCTCAGTTCGTTGTTAACTACTTTACTACCGAACTCAGTTGTATTCGCTTGATTCGATCTAATAAAAAAACCGAGTTTACCGATCTAAAGTACTGTTTTACCCCTTATCGATATTCACATATCAAGAATTGGCGCGCCAGGTAGGGGGCTTAAACAGAATTTTCAATCTTAGATCGGACTTCGGATAGATCGAATCAGCAATGACGGATCAAACCAACATTCACGAGGAAGGAGACCTTCTCGGTGGAGAGAACGCTAACGTCCCAGCGGAACAGGGTGGAGGAAATCCTAGGGAAAACGCTGGAACGGTAGCCGGCCAAACCACCGCAGCCGTAGGAGGTTATGGAACTGAATTACTGCCCCAATTTGAGGCCATTAACAAAAGGAGCGAGGAACATTTCAGTCAGATGGCGGCACAAATCGCCGAGCTCAGTCAAGCACGAACTCTCCTTCGAGTTCGGAACATCATTGACGATCTTAATACTGACGGAGATCCAGCCGGAACTATGAGGTCTACCGCAGTCGGATCAGCAAATGCACCAGCATCAGATTTGAGCCGAGACGCCGAGTTCGAAGAAATGAAGGCGCAACTTCGCGAGATCACTTCGAAGATACACCAAGCAACGAGCGCGGCTCCGGAGATCGAGCGCGTCATTCAAGAAACACAGAAGACACCCTTCACACCGCGCGTAGCAGGAACGCCGGTCAAACATATGGAGAAACTAAAGATAAAGGTCTATGAAGGCAATACTGACCCCCGACACTTTTTAACATCATTCGGCATCTGCATGAATCGATACCAGTTCAAATCCGCCGAGGAGAGAGACGCAGTTCAGTGCCAACTATTTGTCGAAAGTTTAGGAGGAGTAGCTCTCGACTGGTTCTCGCGACTCGATGCCAATTCAATCGATAACTACAAGGAGTTAACGACGGCCTTCGTCAAACACTTCTCCATGTTCATCGGTCAGAACATCAAGAACTCCGAGCTCTGGCAAATAGCCCAAGGACCAAGCGAGAGCCTTCGCGATTTCATCCAGCGCTTTAAGACGATTGTCGCTAATTGTACAATCAGCGATGAAGCAGCCTTCTTATGCCTTCAGAAAGGAGCTCGAATAAAGACTAGCGCGATCACGCATAATCCTCCGCAGACGTTAGAAGATGCATTACACCGAGCTAATACTTACATCGCCGAAGAGGAAGAAGAAGCCGGTTATGAGCAGAGTTATTCGACAAGGCAACCCGAACGTTCGAAAGTAACAACTAACGAACCACAGTCTGGATACGGTCGAGGGTACGAGAATCGTAAGAAGTTCTACGCTAATGCGATCCAACAACCGACCAAACAGTGGAACAACAAATGGGTCCGCGGTGAAGAAGATCAGGACAAGTCTTTGTTCTGCGAATTCCATAACCGTAGAGGACATAACACCGAAGAATGCAGACACCTGCGTGAATACCTACTCGGCCAATATCGAAAGGGGCCAATCTCAGTTGACGATTTCCGTCGCTTAAACGCGCCCAGGAACTGTGGACAGACCTCGATTGACGATCTCCGTCGTTCAAACATGCCTCGACCGAATAACGCGCAGCTCAAGAACGTCATCACTAAGGATCCACCAACTCCACCAACTTTACCGACGTTACCAACTTTACCGGCGTTACCACCGCGCCACCAAATCCGCCTGTTTTGCCTGAACAACAGAAACGGAATCGTATGACCGAGCACAAGAGAACCATGCTCCCAAAGCAAGGAAACGCGTCAACATGATAATGGGAGCCATCGAGGCTTGCAGCTACTCGGTTCGAGCTATCAAAGAATACAGTCGACAGGCCGCCAGCGCGCCCAAAGTCCCACAAGATCCGCCGAAGAGGACGCCTTTGGTATTTACCGAAGCCGACACAATCGGGCTGCATAAACCACATAATGACGTCCTCGTCGTCGAACTACTTCTTGACGATGTCGAAGTTAGCCGCATTCTGGTCGATATAGGCAGTTCGGTCAACATCATCTTCAAGGAAGCACTTGATCAGCTCGATTTATCATCAGATAGGATCGAGCCTTTCATCGAACCTATTACAGGTTTCGATGGAGAATGCTGCATGACGGTCGGCATGGTCAACATCCCGGTCTACCTCGGTGGAGTTGCAAAGATTATCCAGTTCTTCATCTTCGACAAGCTAGCGATCTTCATTCGGCCAACCAAGCTTGTGTCATCAGTTCGTTAGGACCGACAAACGAGCTCGTTGTCCAGCAGACAAAACCTAAGCAGGAGTCGATTGTTCAAGTTTGCATCGAAGAACTAAGGCCAGAGCGTCAAGTCGGAATCGGCGCCGAACTCGACCCACACATCCGCGAGCCACTCATCCATTTTCTGAAACAGCATTCATCAACCTTCGCATGGTCGGTAGAAGATATGCCCGGGATTGACCCACAGATTGCATGTCACGAGCTTAACATCGATCCAACATACAAACCGATCAAACAGAAACGCCGGAAGCTCGGACCAGAAAAGGCATAAGCCGTCAATGACGAGGTCGAACGGTGGCTTAAAGCAGGATCTATTACCGAGTTCAAATATCCTGATTGGTTAGCAAATCTCGTAGTCTTCAAGAAGAAGAACGGCAAATGGAGGATTTGCGTCGACTTTACCGATCTCAATAAGGCATGCCCAAAAGACAGCTTTCCTTTGCCTCATATCGACCGCCTCGTGGAAGCAACTGCCGAGAACGAGCTACTCTTGTTTATGGACGCATTCTCCGGATACAATCAGATCCTTATGCATCCGCAAGATCGAGAGAAGACATCGTTTATCACGGACCGCGGCATATACTACTATAAGGTCATGCCTTTTGGTCTGAAGAACGCTGGAGCAACATACCAACGGCTGGTGAATCGGATGTTCGCAAGCCAGCTCGGGCGGACTATGGAAGTTTACATTGACGATATGCTCGTGAAATTGCTCGTCGCTTCCGATCACGTCGGTCATCTTCGCACGTGCTTTGATATTTTGGATCAGTATGGCATGAAGCTTAATCCCACTAAGTGTACGTTCGGCGTAACATCTGGAGAGTTCCTCGGATACATAGTCACACGGCGAGGCATTGAAGCTAATCCAAAACAGATTGCAGCCATACTCGAGCTCCCGTCTCCGACAACCAAACGCGAAGTTCAACGACTCACCGGACGTATTGCAGCACTGAATCGATTTATATCCAGATCGACAGACAAGTGCTTACCTTTCTACCAACTTCTTCGCGGTAACAAACATCTCGAGTGGAATGAGAAGTGCGAAGAAGCCTTTGCTGAACTGAAGAAATACTTGTTTACGCCGCCAGTCTTATCCAAATCCGAAACCGGTGAGACACTTTATCTCTACATCGCAATTTCGGAGTTCGCGGTCAGCAGTGTTCTTGTTCGAGAGGATCGTGGCGAGCAGAAGCCAATTTTCTACATAAGTAAATCCCTCGATGGGTCGGAGTATCGTTACCCGACCTTGGAGAAATTCGCCTTTGCCGTGGTTATTTCTGCGAGGAAGTTACGCCCGTATTTCCAGTCTCACTCGATCGTTGTCCTAACCGACAACCCTCTTTGCACTTTCCTTCATAGTCCAAGTCAATCCGGACGACTGGCCAAGTGGGCCATTGAACTTAGCGAGTATGACATCGAATACCGAGGAAGAACTGCAACGAAGTCTCAAGTCCTAGCGGATTTCTTGGTCGAACTCCCACCTGAGCTCGTCGAAGCTAATCCTGTCATACAACCTTGGATTATCCACGCCGATTGCTCCTCATCCCAAAAAGGATCCGGCGTCGGGATTCGTCTCAAATCCCCCGAAGGAGAGGTTATCGAACAATCATTCCGCCTTGGCTTCCTGGCGTCCAACAACGAAGCCGAGTACGAAGCATTGATCGCCGGACTACGACTTGCCAAAGGTATCGGCGCCGAGCACGTACATGCCTACTGTGATTCTCAACTTGTGGCTAACCAATTTCACGGCGAATACGAGGCCAAGAATGACCGCATGGACGCGTACCTCAAAATCCTTAAGGATGTTGCTTCGGAGTTCTCAACCTTCGAGCTTACAAAGATACCTCGTGATGAGAATGCAACCGCCGACGCCTTAGCCGCTCTCGCGACTAATTCTGATCCCGATCTTCGGTGAACTATCCAAATCGCGGCAATTGAGCGACCAAGTATCGAGCCTGCTCCAAACTGCAACATCATTACACGACGACGTGATTACGAAGCTCTGAATCAAAGCATTGCTTTCAATCAAATAAATAAAACCAAACTTTCAAAAGATATTAGCCATTTAGGTGGTAAAAAGTATTCGAGATATATTTTCTCAATCAAATAAATAAAACCAAACTTTAGCCACCTGAGCAAGGCATTGCTTTCAAAGGAAAACAAATCACTCTAGCCATTATTACCACCTAAATGGCTAATATCAATCTAATCATTTTGTCCTTTTAAGATATTACTTAACTATGTGTTTACATTTATTTTTTCCTTGTCTAAAATGTATTTACATTAGAACAAAAAAATCTCAATTTATTGCTTGTGTGTAGAAATTTCTTTGAAACCAGTAGCAACTTACATATATCAAGAAAAACTATATTTAATTTAAGAATTTAAAACCTAATTTATTTATTTAGATCGAATCAAAACCTAACTATCTGAAAAAATATCTTATAAGAGCATGTGTTATCGCTGGACATGTTTTGGGTTTCTTCCAGTATATTATATTAATTAACTTAAAGATAGAAAACTTAATAAGAAATGCATGAATTATGGAAGTACATTGGGAGAAACTCTAGTGGATTTCTTATTTAAAAAAAAAAACAGAATAATTATACAATAGAATTGAGATTACAAATTTAAAAACTTTTACATTTTCAAGGTTTTCAGTTGTTTCCTAGTTGACCTCCAAATTTTTGCCAAATATTTTCCATCAAATCTTTTTTCAAATTGTGATGTTGTTTGCCATCCTTTATTTGTTTTCGAACTTCCATCATCTCAGCAATATTAATATTGGTATGAAGACTTGTAGAGTATGAGTAATCCACGTGTGAACTGCTTGTTCCTTCTCCATGTTGAAATGTAGAAAGATCTAGTAGATCGTATCCATCTCGTTCATCTTCGACTATCATATTATGGAGTATAATACAAGCTCTCATAATCTGACCTATTTTTCCTTTATCCCAATAATTAGCCGGATTTTTAATAATAGCAAACCGAGATTGTAATACGCCAAAAGCACGCTCAACATCTTTTCGGGTAGACTCTTGATATAGGGAAAATAAAGATGGTTTAGAACCCTGAGGAAGTGGAATAGATGGGACAAACGTAGCCCACTTTGGATAAATCCCGTCAGTGAGATAGTAAGCCAAATGGTACTCTCTTCCGTTGACGGTAAAATTTACTTTCGGAGCTCGACCATTTATAATATCATCAAAGACGGGTGACCGATCCAGAATATTGATATCATTTACCGTACCTGGAGATCCAAAAAACGCATTCCATATCCAAAGATCATATGAGGCCACCGCTTCTAAAACGATAGTGGGCTTTCCATGGCCACATGCATATTGGCCTTTCCAAGCGGTGGGACAATTCTTCCATTCCCAGTGCATGCAGTCAATGCTTCCGATCATCCCGGGAAATCCCCGTTGCTCTCCATAATAGAGTAATCTTTCAAGATCTTCCGGTGTGGGGCGTCGTAGGTACTCATCTCCTAATAGCATTATAATTCTGTCGACAAAATTTTCTAAACACAAACGAGCAGTTGTTGCACCGAGTCGTAGGTACTCATCAACCGCATCAAGAGCATTGCCATATGCCAAGATACGTATTGCTGTTGTGCACTTCTGAAGTGCAGAGAGACCAAGCCGTCCGAGTGCATCTTTCTTCTACCGGAAGTAAGGAACTTCATTTGAAAGATGATCTACAATACGTAAGAAAAATGGTTTGTTCATCCTAAACCGTCGCCTGAATAGATTTGCCGGGTAGGTTGGATTGTCACTGAAGTAATCGTTCCACAAACGATCATGACCGTGTTCCCTCTCTCTTTCAATGAAAACTCTCTTTTTTCTTGTTTTTTTTTGCTCTTGATTTTCAATGAAAAAATTCTCAAAGTGTTGATCCCACACTTGTTCATAGTGCTGATCCCAAACTTGTTCATAGTGCTGATTAAAAAAATCATCAAACTCATTATTTGAAGAAGAAGAACCCATTCTTTTGTTTTTTGTAATGGGTTTAAAACAAGTAGGAGAATGAGAGAAGAAGATACAACGATGATGAAATATGTGAAATATGTTTACATATATATAGCGAGTATAAGTTGCATTATGTAGTCTATAGAAAAAGTCACGGCATGTGGTGTTTCCACAATCATACAATTACCACCTGCAAAAATCCAAACCCTACAAAAGCAAACATACTGACATACTGACTCAGATCCTCATCAACATGGGCTCTTGTGAATGTCTTTGTTTTCTGGTGCATTGTCTTCTTATGCCGACGAAGTCACTAGGTGGAAACCTGACTCAGCTCCTCGTCTACATTGACGTAAATAATAAAAGCATTACATTAGTTGAACATTACAGAACAACATAAAAAGTAGACAACAACAAGCTTCATTCATAAACCACCATTACAATAGTTGAACATTACACATACGACTAAAAAGTAGACAAACATTAAAAGACTAAGTAGACTCTTCATAAAAAAAACAAAGCATAAAACTAAACAGACATATAGTAGACATTACACTGATGAAACTAATGCTTCTTCTTCGACTAAAACAACTCTGCTATGAGCTTCTTCTTCAGGGCCTCATCGCACTCATTTAAGGTATCCTTCCTCGCAACGAGACTGTCCAGCAAACCCATCTTGGACAGTCTTTCTTTGACCGCTAACTCCTTTTCCTTCACGATCCACATCTCTTGAAACTGAGTTACAACATTACCATCACCGTTAGACTTCTTTCCTTTGGATTTCGCAGCCTTAATTCCCGGAGGACGTGACTCAGTTTGAGCTTCATCAGCATTCTTTCCTTCCTCGCCTTCAGCTGCCTCCGACTAGGTGCCGTCTTGAGACCTCCTCCTTTTCTTCTTTCCATCTGTTTTAGCTGCAGTCAGTTCACACCACTTTTGATCGTAACAGAGCTCCTGCCACGCATGGTCCATCGTAAACTTCTTCTTATGGTCAGTAAAGAAAATCTCATGAGCCATTTTCAACACATCATTCTCGTTCATCCCACTTGCTTTAGCCCTCAATGCAGCCGCGTATGCCCCAGAGAACTTGCAGAGGTTCTCTTTGATTTTTTGCCAACGCTGCTTGCACTGCATAGGCCCGCGGATCTCTCTTCCAACCGCCAGTGGAGATGCACCGAAATAGTCTGCTATGCGCGACCAAAACGTGCTGTTCTTCTGCTCGTTAGCAACCACAGGATCTTTGCTCGTGTTGAGCCATGAGCTTATGAGCAACAAATCTTCGGCTGGAGTCCATGTTCGGCGTTCCTTCTTCTCTGCAGGTGTCTCCTCGGTCTGAGAACTGAAGATGGAGGCTTGGGAAGAACCAAGATCAACGGCTGGAAAGGACAAGAAATTTTCTTGTTGACTCGTGAGTAAGTCAACAAAAGTAGAAGGCGGAGTGAAGGGAAAGGAAGAACCCATGGGTTTATGAAGGGGTTTACAAAGGAAAAAAGAGAGAAGAGGTAGACGAATAAGAGATAATGAACTTGGAAAACAGAGAGTTGAGCAATTACTTCAAGTGTTTACTACTAAGTGAAGCTGTTAGTTGAGGTGTTTAAATAGAAGATCAAAAACAAAAAAGAAGAAGCAAAAGATGAGATAGCATTCATCAAAATCTCACAACTATACCGAGTTGACAAGCATTCATCACACCACAGAGATATATTAAACCACACCATTAACTACCTAACCGGCATCAAAGCTACCACTAATGCATTTATTACCACCTAAGTAGCCACACGGTTCCATTTACTTGAGATTACAATTCCATTTAGATCCTAACTAGATACAATACAAAGAAATAAGAAAGCAAACACTAACCTCAAAAGCTTCCTATGCTCTGTCTCCTTGGAAGTGGAAAGCATCACAACTTGCAAACAAGCATTGACCAACAAACAAACCAACCAAAGCATAACAGACATTCGAATACAACACATAACAGCCGCATTATCATCATTCCAATCCGGAAAAAAACATAACAATAAGTCTTACATTCGATTACAATACTTAACAAAATACAACACTTCTAACCCTTTAAAACTATTTGAAAACCAAAAGAGAATTAGCCGATAGTACCATGTTTTACCTTACTTCACAAAGCTAACAAAGACACCGACTGAAACGATTAGAACAACCAATGCTACAACCACTTTCACCTCCTTTCCTTCCTTTGTCTTCGAAGCACTAAGCTCCTTCAACGTTTTCACTTCATCTTCACGAACCCTTGCCTCAAGAGACTTCAAACTAGCCTTAAGTTCCATCAGCTCCTCAGTAATTGCCTCGTCCCACCATTTCCAAACATGGAGTCCTTCCTACAAGCAAAAATTATGTTAAGCGACCATCTGAATCCTAAAATACTACAAGCTTTGATCATCACCTAAACTCTAAACTCACCGAACTGTTCGAGCAGGTGTAGAAGCGCCGCCCAGGATTTGTGGTGGTATGAGAAGTAACAAGTACCGTTCCAGCTCCGCAGAAGCACCTCGATGGAATCCCGTGGTAACCAGTATGACGAGCCCTTGAGCTGTTGCTGCTCCTTGACGAATCACTGCTTTGACTGAGTGTCATTTTCCTGTAACAAATCCAAGTATTAGTCAACAAATCCAAGCTGCAAACAAAGTTTGGAAGATCGGAGAAGACAAATATCGATGAAGAAGAAGATCACAGAAAAAGAATACCGGAGAATACGAAGATCGGAGAAGAAGAAATCAGAGATCAGAGAAGAACAAGACCGGAGAAGACGAAGATCGGAGAAGAAGAAATCAAAGATCGACGACCATTTTTTCGATGAAGAAAAAATCAGACATCGACAGTTTTTTTGTTTTGTCCGTCGATGAAGACCATTTTTTCCCTTAAATTCTTCACCCTCTCACAACATGACATGTACACAAGTGGGATCGATCCCAAAAATTATAAAAGAGGGATCATTTCTCCTCTTTAATTTAGTTTTTGATTTATTTTTGGGCCAATATTCACCCAGATACCCAACAAGAGTCCAGCGATAAACATGGCCTTAGATAAGATGTCATTAATAGACGATAGCCGTCTTGTGAGTGGATAACAGTGCCATCACTGCCTTACCCAGTGGGTAAGTAACGTAATTAAGTTTAGGGGTAATATGGTCATTACACATTTGATCGAGTGGTGAAAAGAGAAAATGTCTGGTTGTGCAAGCAGAAAAGTAACGGCACCGCTAAAAACCGTTTATACGAGGGACGACGACTCTGAGTCTGAGAGATGAGACTTAACCCCGTTTTCACCTGTAAAACCCATAAAACTCTCCTTTCTTCTACATTCTCCCATTTTTTTCCCCTTTCCCAAGAAAACTTCTCTTTTCTCTTTTCTCACATTTTTTCTCGCACTTTCTCTCTGTTTTGTTCTTTTTTTTTCCCTTGGTGATGGCGGCGCGGGTTGAGATTGAGGACCAAGCGTCTATCACCAAGCTTGATGATGGCGAAATCTTCGATCCCCTTTCCGACGATGCAGATTCCTCGACCGGATCTTCCTCAACCGACTCAATGATTCCTCTCGGCGAAGGAAACCCAGAGCACGACGTTATCAGGACGTGTTTGCTCTCCGGCTTGGGTCCTATATCTACCGACACGACGATCGTGGCGGTGCGTAAAAACTCTTCGGAAAGGATCACGACGAGAGCGAAGTATCTTGCGTTTCGGATTTTCACGGAAGCCATGGCGAGGAAGAACGGCGGAGATCCCAATGTGAAATACGGCTGGTACGCTGGTTCCAAGGAGGAGATCCAAGGTATTATCTCCTACGGATTTAGCAGTCGCGAGGTTCGGAAATCCGAGAACGGCGATGGCTCTCACGGAATCGGAATCCATTTGGTTCCTTCCAAGTGCTCCCTCTTTGCGTAAGTCCGATTTCTCTCCCCTCTGGTTTTCGATTCACTGAGAAATCTGTGGATTTATGGCGTCGAATTCGATTTGGTTTACAATCTTTGAATCGCACTTAATTTTTCTCCAGAAATTGAATTGCAATGTAACAGTGAAAGATATTTGCAGGGCCGGAGCTACAGAGCCAGACGAGGAAGGTTTAAGGCATCTTCTCTTATGCCGTTTAATCCTTGGGAAGCCTGAGGTTATCATCTCCGGCTCTAAACAATCGTCCCCGAGCTCGGTTGAATTCGATTCTGGTGTGGATAATCTCCAAAATCCTAGAGAGTATGTCATATGGAGCTCTACCATGAATTCGTACATCTTACCGAGTTACATCGTCAGTTTCAGGTCACCTCGTCTCAGAGGTAATAACATTTTCCTTGAAGCTTTTTGGATTTCGGCTATGTAATGCTAATCTGAGGATGGTTCGTATGTTTTTGTTTCAGTTATAAGCAGAGGTGGTTTCAGTGCAAGACCAAGCTCGCCGTGGGTTAGTTTTGCCGCCCTGATGTCAATGCTGTCCAAGTCCATGGATCCTTCAAGAATGAACTTGATCATGAGAAGTTACGATGATTTTCGTGTATGTTACGTTCTACTTTGTCAACATCAATTAATCAAAAAGATTATCTTGTTTCTGAGAGTTCAGCGATGTGGGTTTTGTTGCAGAAACGGAAGATCAGGAGAGACCAATTGGTTCGGAAGATGAGAGAAGTGGCTGGAGACAATCTTTTGGCTGAGATAATCAAGAATCAGAGAGACAAAAACAAGGTCAGGGTTTGAGAGACAACACAGAGATGGATTCAGGGTAAGCAAAGTCTTGTTTAGAATCAGTACTTTTGTGCTTTCTCATCTAATCAAATTAATGGAAAGTGAAAGTATATGACTAAAAGACTCTTCTTATTCTTTCTTATTGAGCAAGGATTGCTAAAACTTTTTAAGTTTTATTTGGGGTATATATGAAAAAAGGGATCTTTTCTTGTTAAACTCCACATCAGCCTTTATTCCTTTAGACGTATGTTAATCCAACTCATGCTAAGTTTGTGGCCATTCATTTGATTTCATCAAATATGGAATTTAAGAAATGTCTTTTCAACATTTCTAGAATATTATTGACCTCCTTTTTTCTTTTCCTTTTTCCAATTCCTTGCAGGGAAAGTTTCACACGTGTGATACGTAATAAGGTGGAATAGAGAAGAACATACACGTTTTACACGTACATAGACAAGCTCAATATGTGGAAACTATATATGAGAGATTTAAAGCATTTTCTTTCCTTTAGGAAGGTACAGTTTATGTTAGCTGTACAAACAGAGGATCCCTTTTGATACCAACTTTTGGGAAAATTTGTAAAGAGCATTCTTTCACATAGTAATGAAATATTCCAAATTTTCAGAACAATCAAGAGAATCTTAAAACCACAATCTCCTTGAATTATTTTATTTATAGCCTCCTCCGGTTCGTATATCTCCTCCGACGTGATCTCCACCTCTCCTTAATGTCCTCAGTTTTGCTTTTCTCCGATTCCACGCCGTTCTTGCCTTGATCATCATCATGGCCTCCTCCTCCTCCTCTTCGGATTTTTGCAGCTTCAGCGAGAAGATCTTCAATCATACTCTCTGTTGTTTTAATGGTGATCCCATGAATGTACCAAGAAAGTGGCGGTGGAGTAAGAATAGCAGAAGGCTGAAACATCTGATCCATTGTCACCTTCGAACCGATCCTTCCTCGCCCGTTGCTACAGCTTTCGTAATCTTCTCGAGTTCTTGGCTTTCTTGTCTCACACAAATGTTCGTCTATAAACAATGGCTCTACTTTCCAACAGCCCTCGAACACTTTCATGAACATTGTTTTCTCTTGCCTATAATTTGACTGCATGCCCACAATAGGCAGGAGAGAAACCCTATTAATTAAATACTTGAGAACAGAACAACAAGATAGAGTCTTGTGAGAGACAAATATATCTTACGGTGAGATTTTTTCGGTTTTCTTGGACAATTAGATGTATAGGGAAAGTTCCAGCCCACCAAAGGAATTTCCAGGCCGCTGCTTGCTTCACCTCCACGGTCTGCACTGCTCCTTCCTCCATCAAAACTTTTCTCGATATACATTCCTGTTTATGATTAAGGAAATTGCCTTAAGTATTACTGTAATGTTCAATTCGAATCATACAAGACAAAGACCATGCAAGCACCTTAATGTTTTTGAAGTATCTTTTGTTGTCTGGATGGGTGAAAATGTTGTAGACTGATTCAGGAGGTAATCCTACGTTTACTTCTACGTTCAAATGGCAAAACGAACCTTTCTGTGTTTTCACCTACAAAAATCAATATGTAAGTAAAAGTTTTGAAAATACAAATTTTCTCTAAATTCTGCCAATTCTAAGTAATTTCTAGGATTTGTGTTTTTGGCTCCCATCGTACCTGAACCTTAGGAGGTTGATCTGTCCATGAAGGATTATCTCTCCAAGCTTGTAACTGCTTCTCTAACTTCTCCTCATATCTTTCCTCATCATAATTAGTAGTCACTATTTCTGACGACGCTGGCTTAGTGATCAAGCTTACCTCTTTGACATTCCTTAATCTCTTGAACTCAGCCTATAACAACAACAGCAACAACAGATAACATAATTTTACTAGAAGATATATTTGATTAAGCTTCTTGGGGGTTCTTGAGATGGAAATGAAAATTTGAACCTTAAGAGGCTCTTGAATTGTCTGGTTGATCCAGACCAAACATCCAGGAAGTAAAACATTATTTCCAAAAATTTTAACGAACCCAAAACCGCTCTTCTCCTCTGATCTTGAAATTTCAGACCCACCCATTTGTTTCTGTAGTAATTAGATCACAAAACAGAGCAACGATGAAAAAAATGACAGATGATCAGAGGAAATAGAAAGTCAACGAAATGGTCTGAGGGAAACTCATAGCGAATCGTTTGATTGATTAAGAAAGGTGATTAATAATAATAAGAATTAGTTGTGTGGAGGTTGAGTGTACCTTACGGACCGGGAACTAAAGATCTGGGGACAGTTCCATTCTCGTGAATTCCTCTTTTGACGTTAAAGCATGCGCGGAGAATCGGCCGGACATTACTTTCGACTCGTGTCTCTCACTTGTCGCAACCGAGCCCTAAATCTATCCTCTGCTGCTCTGCAACAAGATCACAAATTCGACTCTGGTTTGCAATTCAAATCCAATAATAGATCTTTCCTTTTTTGATTTTGATTTTTTTTTTTTCTTAATTAAAAGACTTGAGTGCGCAAAAGAGTCAAAATCTGTAAATGTCTTTTGTTGAATAAGAGATACTAAGAATTGACATTTTTTATATAAAAATAGGCGGTCGGAGAGCGACGTGATATCCAAGCATCATGGACTTATTGTATCTGTAATTAATGGGCCTATGACCCGATTATGAGTAGTGATTGTTACGTAACAAAGAGCCGATCTAATTAAATCGGCTTAAGGGCAGCTTTCGGTAACAGGCCAATTAGTGGTGTGTTTGGAATGAGAAATTGAGAATCTAAAACCAATGAAATCTTTTGGTCAAGGGTCCAGAAACAAAAAGGGTCATTGTTCAATGGTCTTGGAAATCAGACCTACCAAATCTGATTTCATGCTATAGATTTTTTTTATTTTATTTTATTATAACAGTTTTAAATAAAGTTGTTTGAGATTACTACCACAGTATAACCCACCCATACCGGTTTGAGACCGGTTCACGACACCAATATTTTGAAAATCTTTGGTGGTTTTGATGGTAATCTCACGAATGTATAAAATCAAGGAACGTACCAAGTAAGCGGTGGCAAATGGAGAAGAGAATTTGGTTGAAAGTATTGGTCCATTGTCACATTCCACTCAATGTTTCCTTGTCCGACGCTACATTTTTTGTACACTTATAATTGTGTAAGAATATTATTAAATTTACAACCATAATTTTTTTTTTTTTCTGTAGGTTTATTGAGGTTATAGTGTTATCCATGTTTGTTGCTTGATATCTTAAACCTAGGGATTTCGCTGAGCCTTTCGAAACTCGGTAGTCATATTTTGAAACGCTTTGAGCAGATTTTTACTGGTTTTGATGGTAATCCCACGGATGTACCAAGAAAGCGGAGGTAGATTAAAAGGAAAATATGGCTGAAAGTATTGGTTCATTGTTACTTTCGCCGCAAGCTTTCCTTTTCCGCCGCTACATATTTTGTATTCTTCTAAGCTCTTTGGTAACCTATGCTTGCACAACCGTTCTTGATCTGCGTATATTGGCTCCACTTTATAGTTACCCTCGAACACTTTCATCAACATTACTTTCTCTTTTTTGTATTTTGTCTTTCCAAAATAAGCAAGAGAAAGCCAAGTTAAGTTTTATCTAAACAAAACAAAGGTATTGATTAATATTATTGTGTGAGAAGCTTCTTACCGTAAGCTCTTTTCTGTTTTCATCGAGAATTAGATTTATTGGGATAGGTATAGACCACCAAAGGAAGTCCCAAACCACAAATTTCTCCACCTTCGAGATTTGCCTCGGTCCATCATCCATCAATACCTTTACTGATTTGTTTTCCTTCACAAGAAAAAAATCGATCACAGTCTCAAGTATTGCTATAATCAATACCATATTCAAATCATATATACAACCAGGATAAGGGAAAAAATAACCATAAGTCTGCGCCGCTTGACCTCATCGAAGAACGGGCCGTGTTCTGGAACAGTCAAAAGGAAGTAGACTCCATAAGGAGTCATTCCAGCTGTAAATTCTATGTTCATATGGTAAATACCCTTTTTCCTTGTCACCTTCACACATCAAAAATATAAGAAAATTTAGGGATCTTTCTTCTTGATTCTACAGGCCATTTCCTCTCAAGGCTTCTTATTTGGTGCTTTTCTCTTACCTTGACCTTAGGAGGGGCATCATACCATGGATGCTCCTTCTCTGCATGATGCCAAAGTTGATCTTGCTTCTCCTCCTCTTTTTCGTCATGATATGCCTTCTTCTCCTTAGTAGGGGCATTATTACTATCTTTCTTTGACATCGACTTAGATTCAACATTCTCAGATCTCTCGGACTCGGCCTACAATAACAAAGAGAATCATTACCTGTTAATTATACCTAATTAATGGAAATGAAACTGACCTTAGGAGGCTGTTGAGTGTTCTGATCATTGATCCAGCTACCAAATCCTGGAAATACACCCATTTCTATTCGAAAGTTTAGCCCACAAATACTAATAGTTACCTGATGAAAGCAATAATAAATGAAGATATATATATATATATATTATGGTTTGTGGAATGTTAATTAAAATATCTCAATCTTGAGAGAATGTTGTACGTTGAGTTTTACGTATTGCAAAACAATGAAGTGGGCAGCTCAATTCTCGTGAGTTCTTGACGTACAAGTGAGACCTAGGAATGAGGTGACAGAAGTTTTCAATAAATTGGTGAATGACGTTTCCTGTCACGAAATCAAAACTTTTGTGTTCTTTTTTTTTTTTGGGTATGTTCGATTTCTTTATTTATTTATTTACAATCCTGGAATCAACAATATTTATTCACAAACTTTATTAGGGTTACTTTCTCCAGAAGCTTTTAGTTTGTGTATGGTTTTTGAAGTCAGATGAGCATTCTCTTTTGATATATTTAACTGTTCAGCGAAACTTTGCTTTGGGATTTAAACTGAAATTGTAATCTTCAAAGAGAAAAATCATCATTATATATCTGATTAATCACCGGAAAATCCATCGATAACAATTGGTTAGGGTTTCATATTAGATACTTTTCTTTTTTAAATCTTTTTCCATTTTAATTCTGAAATATATTATTAAGCCTATCAATGAAATCAGTATTATTTTTGGTGAAGCACGTAAATCTGTATTTTTTCATTTTTTTGTGTGTGCGGTTTTCCTTTATCACATCTGTGGTGGGCGAGTAGTGTACCTTACGTTTACTTACTACGAAAAAATGAAGCATTTGCCAGGTTTGTTTTATTTTATTTTGTTTTGTTTTGGTTTAAGTTGATAACTGAATTTACTTAATTTTTTCGAGTTCATATATTTTTTTCTTCCTCCTATTCGGATTCCCTATAAAGTGACTTTATAACACTGTATAATCAAATGGTTCGATAATACCACCACAATATAACAAGTTCATACCGAGTCTGAACTTTTGTGGATGTCGATAACATATTGTCTTAGATCTTCGAGCAATGCCTTGGTGGTTCTGATGGTGATCAACCGCATGAACCAAGAAACCGGTGGCATGTTAAGAAGAGAAGAAGGCTGAAAGATCTGCTCCACTGTCACCTTTGACCCTATCCTTCCTTGTCCGCCGCTACATTTTCTGTACTCTTCTTCACTAGTCCGTGATCTAGACTTGCACAAGCGTTCCTGATCTGCGTATAGTGGCTCCACTTTCCAGCTACCCTCAAACACTTTCATGTACATCATTTCCTCCTTCTTATATTTTGCCTAAGCAAGAGATCAAACCCAAATTTTGTTCACCAAATACTGAAGTGGTTCTTGTAAGGGATATGGAAATGCTTCTTACCGTAAGATTTTGATGGTTTTCATCGATGATTAGATGTATCGGGATAGCTCCAGACCACCGAAGGAGCTTCCATCTCAAAGTCTTTTCCACTTCAGTGATCTGCCTCGGTCCATCCTTCTTCAAAACCTTTGTTGATTTGTTGTCCTTCGTAGGAATTAAAAAGATAACCCTCTCAATTATGTCTTATAATTTATACTTCATTTGAATCGTACAACTATATAGAAAAGAAAAAGAAAAACAAACAAACCAGACGTTGGCGAAATTGCTTGTCGAATCTACGAAAGAAAAAGACGTTTCTTGGATTAGTGAGCATCTCGTATACTCCTTGAGGAGGCCATCCCAATGTGAATTCTATGTTCAAATGGCAAACACCTTTTTCTGTTTTCACCTTCAAACATAAGAATGTAAACAAACAAAGATCTTTTCAATTCTAGCAATTTCTTAATAAGCACCAGAAAAAAAAAAATACAAAACCCCTAAAAGTACAGAGATATTGTTTGCTGATATGTTATATTACCTTCACCGTAGCAGGAGCATCATACCATGGATGCTTGTTATTTGGAACTACCCAAAGTCCTACTTGCCTCTTCACCTCAGCTAAGTCATAATATTTAGGATCCGTAGCATACAGTGGCATAGATCTAACATGCCCAAGTTTCTTGGACTCGGCCTACAATTATCAACAAACAGAATCGTAGTTTGATATAATTTATATATTAACTGATATAGTATTTTTAATAGCCTATTACCTTAACCTTAGGGTCCTCACTAGGATCCCAATACCATGGTTCCTGAATATTAGTGTCCTTTTCTGCAGCTGAACTAGATTTAACATTCTCAGGTCTCATGGACTCGGCCTACTACAACAAACACAATCATGATCTCATTTGTATATTTAACCGGTATAGTAGTTTATATTGATTTGACTTCCTCGGGTCCTCTTATTGATGAACATGAAACTGACCTTAGGACGTTGTTGATTATATTGATTGATCCACCCACCAAATCCAGGAAATACACCCATTTCTCTCCCTGAAATTTTAGTACTGCAAATAATACTTACCTAATCAGAAAAAGAGTAAATGAGGATACAAAGCTGGCTTGTATATATTTTGGTAACCTTAGATACCATGTTTGCATCTTGAGAGACTGGTCTACGTGACTACGTTAAGTTTAACGTACGGCACAACAATGAAGTAGGCAGCGCCATTCACGTGAGTTCTTGGCGTACAAGCTACACTAGGAGATCAGCGAAGATGAGTCGGAAAATGAAATCAAAATCGAAGTCGCGGAGGCGAGGTCCATTAGGACATGTCTTAGTCGTTAGAAGAAAGTGAGAAAGGAATGACACATTTGTTCTAAATAAAAGTAATTTCTCATTTTGAAAACTTAGGTAGTGGTATTTATGGAAATGCTATGGGGATGGTGGTAGGATGGTATTACAAAAGTGATATTATATTCCTTTTTAGTTTAAGGGCCTAAAATGTTTTCCTGTCGGGAAACTCCGAAAATCTTTAAGCTGATTCTGACAGTAACGGTTTTCTTCGCTATGCTTTCTATTTTTATTATTCGAAATTTGCTTCGTACTTCCGAAACACTGAACATAGAAGCGGACGAGGAGGACAAGCGCAAAAGTTATGCTATTTGCTAGATATTAAATTAATAAAACGGTGATTCTCTATTGATCATCCTAAGTCCGACCCCGAGATCTGAGAAAACAAAACCCATAGAGCCATTTGATTAAGAGAAAAACAAGGATTTCAAAGAAACACTCATGAAAAAAATCGCATAAAACACATATGCTTTTCGTCTACTTAATCTATTATATACTATATATATATATATATAAATATAGACTTTTTATTTATTTTGGACGTACTCATGGAAAAGTAACAGTTTTCAAATATTGGCATCTCTGTAGTTGCGGTTACGATTACACCCTGTTCAAAAAAACTCGGCCGCTTAATCGTAGTCGACCGTTTAGGCGCTAGGCGATGGATGACCGTCCTGACTAGATGCTAGACGGTGATTTTAGGTGGTTCTCCGATTTTTTACCGCCTAAAACCGCTTAGAACTGCCTAAAATTGCTTAAAACCGTCTAAATCCGATTAGAAAACATAATTGTTGTTTAATTAAGCATTAAGCACTTAGGCGAATTTGGTTATCGACAAAAGAGGGAATGGGATATCACTGCAATACTGACAAACGCATTTAACACCGCTGATATATTTGTTTGGTTCCGAATATATTTGTTGGAGTAATGTTTTTCATTAATGAGGGTGCTCACAACAAGAAGTCTTGCGCGCTTTCACTTTTAATCGGTGATGCAGCAAAGTTGCGGTCCTTGCGGAGTAAATGGTGGCGCAAGAATCGAAGGAGAAGGTTAATGCGGTGGACAACGTGTCTTTTAATTTGCCATCAAGATGATATCGGGATCCACACGTGTCTCAATGACGTGCCCAGTGTGTACTAGTTACGATGATCATCAGCCTACTTTTTTTATAAGTTTGTTTATTAGGTCAGGTCATCTTTGGAATAGCAAGTTCGTGGAGTATGCCATTTTTTAAATATATTTTATCTTCGCTAAATCCTCAACTTGCATCTTGAACAAAATTATGTTGTTAATGTATACGGAAACACAAAATAAAAAGCAAAGGTTATGCTTTTTGTTGGGTTAATTAATAAAACGGTGATTCCCTACTGAAACTAATTCTTAATATTTTACATATTTTAATAAATTAACCCGTATGAAATTTTAAGTATAAATACAAAATCCTAATTAGAATTAGCTCTATCATATTATTATATAATATAATATTTATTTATTTTAAATATTTTATCATTTAGATCGATTAATTATGATAAAATACAATAAAATATTAATTTACCATATAAAAATAATATTTAAAATTAAAATTTATTATTAAATTTAATCTGTGTTTAAAAAATTCTAAAATAATTAAAATTTTATCTAAATTTTCATAATAATTTTTATTTTTTGAATTTTTTTAAAATTTTAATTTAGTTAAATCTAAATTTTCGTAATTTATTTGGATTCAAACACTAAAAATATTTTTGTTTTAATAAAATATATAAATCCAGTTTATATTGCAGTTTGATGATAACGTCCTGCAAGTGACAATTTAAACTTTCTTCTTTTTGTAGTTGTCAATTTAACTATAAGCTTTTTTTTTTGTATCTATTATGAACAAATTTCACTCACTATACTAAAATATCTTCTTTTTGGATAGTAATATGACAAACTAAGGACTGAAGTAACGAATTAAATCCACACTAGATTTTATACCGTGCAATCGCATTGAAATTTTTTTAATCAAAAATTTGTAATATAATTTTTAGTTTTATTATAGATATAATATTTCTAATAAACGACAAAAAACTATTTTTGTGTTTAAATATAATTTATTTTTTAATTTTTTTTTAGTAATATTATGACCAAGAACATAATTCTAATCCGGCCATTTTATTAATAAAAAAATAATTATTATTATAAAAATATATTTCTAACTCGCTCATTCTATTAATCTAAAAAATACATTGGTTATAAATCAAGAATTCTAACACATCCATTCATATACTACTATATAATAGAAATATTTATTAATTTTAAAATAATTTTTATCTGAATATTTTGTATGTTTTGATAATATAATCCACTTTAAAATTGCTTTTGTTTTAATATAATAAATGATTAACGCCAAACATAAATAATATAAAAAGGTAAACGTGTTCGAGGGCTATTATAGAGCCAATGATCGTTAATCAACAGCTTGTCCAGTTTTAAGCAAATGAGCCATCTTTCCTCTTATTACACCAAGTAAAACATGGGCTATGATAGCCTATATCACTTAAGTCTCTATCTCGAACCAGGGTTTGAAAATCCCACATTTCAGGAGTCATAACAGAGCCTACACCTTAACAAGAATGTTCATCGGAGGAGAATATCTCACTGAAATCCTCCATAACTAACCAGTGCATTTTTCTATAAATTGGAGAAAAAAATAGCTTCGAAGATCATCCCACAGCTCTTTCCAACTAACCACCTATTCTAGTACCGTCATGCTTTTGCGTGGGCTGAAAACCTCCCGAGAAACCCTAGATCACAGATCATCTCTTAATCGCCTTTGGTTGCTGACGTGGTTCTCTCTAACTTGTTAAAAAATAATTTTTTTTCTCCCTTTTTTTTTGTATATTCGACAAAATATTACTAATATTTTGGCCCCCAAACAAACCCAAAATTTGAGAAAACAAAACCCAGCCATTTTATTAATAGAATAAGAAGGATTCAACATAAACACTCACGAAAAAACTCGCATAAGAAAGGAAAAGCACAGGCACGCTTTTCTTTTAACTTTTTTTTATATATTTTAATCATATGTAGACTTATTTTTATTTGGACATGCACACTCATGGAAAAGCGAAAGTTAAAACATATTAAGCGTCACTTTTGGCGGTTGTGGTTGGCGGTTTGCGATTAGATGTTAGCATGCCGCAACTTGCCTGCCTTAAAGCATTAGCGGATTTTGGGTTTATGGGGACCAAAAATGAAGGGAATGGGACCCGAAATTGGTTCCATCCGGCTGGCAAATTAAGGTCACAAAAATTGCATTTTTTAAAAACCCGCTTGATAATTCTTTCCCCCCTTCTTGTTTTGCCAATCCTCCCCGCCCTTTTGGGCTCCCCCCTAAGCACTCCTTGGCAAAACCTTTGGATAAACAAAAAGGTGGTGGGGAAAATCCGAACCGTACAAGCAACGAAAACAGGTACTTCGTCTTCAGTTGGAATGTACTCCTTAAGACATTCATCTTCTGCGGCTTTTATCTTTGGTGTTCTGTATAAACAAATATCAAATATGTGTTATTACATTTCTCAAGCATGCTTTTATCAAATAGTATTCTCTGATACGGAAACATTATAACTTTTCCACTACGTACAAAGTACAAACCACATACAAATTGAGACACAAAAGATTAGTATTAATAACAGTATATAAATATGTATTTACTGGCTTACCAAAGAGCACTAAGAAGAGAACGAAGAAGAGGGCTAAGATGGATACAGACTTCATTGCCTTTGCTTTTCAATTTACTGTTTTGAGTAATTTTGTTGGTGAAAATGGTTCAGTACTTGTGGTGCTATTTATAACCGCTCCAGGCCTTTGGCCTCATTAAATTATCGTTCATTATCTTAATTCTTCAAAAAATATTGTGGGGTTCAGTTTTTAGGATTTTTTAAAATAAAATATACACTAAAGCTAATTGAAATGATCCTTTGGTTCCGAAATATTTTTGTTAATCTTTTTTTATTAATTAAGGTGAGCACTAAGTCCAAGACCTAATACCCGCTTTCAATTAAGAAAACATGATTAACGCCAAACGTGGATAATATAATATACTAAAATTTACTCACATATTTTATTATCAATAATTTCTAAGGCTTTGCATAACAGATTAAAAAACTATTTAACTTTTCTGTTTTTCCAAACTAAAATATTGTTAGTTAACCAGTGATAAAATATTCTGCAAATAAAAATGGTCAAAAGCAATTAAAAAGCTAATTAATTTTGCATTTAAATTAAAAGTTTTGTCAAACGAAAAAGTATATGTGTTTCTCAAGTTATCACTGTGGAGGTGTGGAGTAATGTTGTAATTTGTAAACGAGCGGCATGTGACTTGTATTATAGAACAGTCTTGGGGAAGCAAGTTCGTAGAAAATGCATTAGCGGATTGGGTTATGGACAAATGAATACTATTTGGATATGATCATATTCTCCCTTTTTTTTTTTGGGTTTTGTGGGGCTAAGAGAATACTATTTGGATATGATCTAATGAGTCATATCAACCACCTTCCAAGTGTAAATATTAAATACTCAATATCCACGTCGAACGTTACAAAAGATTCCCTCGAAAGTCATTATAACTATTTCATTTTTATCTTTTTTTGCCGAATATTAATTAAAAAATTGCGGATCCAAAAATATTTTGAGTAAACAAAACCAGAGAGCCATCTTGTATATCATTGGAAAAGTAATTTTGGTTCAAAATCAATCTAAGTGGTTTGTTAATTTCAAAATATTCTTGATAGATCTTTTAATTAAAAATTGATTTTGTTTAAAAAAATAATATCTAAGGAAAATTTGCTTTTTTACATTTCCTTAACCGATGCTATGCAAAAAAAGAAGTAATATTA